CGATATATTTTTAATTTACTTATAGCTTCATTAAAATAAAAAAATTACCCGGCTATGATACGGAGAGTTTAGGTGTACTTGAGAAACGAAAGACAGTGTTGTGTTTCTCGGCAGAGTCGTCAGGGAACGACCGTTACGACAGAGCCAACCTATCTATCGCTCGTGTCGCACTCGTTATAACCTAAAACAATAACACAACAATAACAAGACAGTGTCTGACCGCATGTTCCAGCTATTTATGAATGAGATGCTCAGTCTATATTTTATTTTAAGTCTATGGATATACCCATATGCTTGAAGAGGAAAGTTTATGAACAATGTGTCTTGCCGGTAATTATATATGGAGCGGAAACTCTAACATTAACGAAAAAGTCAGCAGAAAATTTAAGAGTAGCCCAGAGAGCCATGGAGAGAGCCATGCTTGGAATAACTAAAAGAGACAAAATTCCTAATAACACTATTAGACAAAAAAACAAAATTAAAGACATAGTGGAACACGTAACTCTAATGAAATGGAGATGGGCAGGTCATGTGGCGAGAACATCTAAAGACAGGTGGACTAGAAGATTGTTAGAATGGCGACCTCGAGCAGATAAACGTAGCAGAGGCAGACCACCGACACGCTGGACCGATGATGTAAAAAGGATTGCTGGAAATTGGATGATGACGGCCCAAAATCGAGAGACATGGAGAAATATGGAGGAGGCCTACGTTCAGCAGTGGACAACGATGGCTACATGATGATGATGATGACTAGAAAGCAGGGGATTGCGTCGTTCAATTAGGGATATTTGACGGTCTTGCTCAGCAGTAGTAACTCAATTTCTATCTCTTCCAGGCCGGTCTGTAACCTCGTTTGTCTCCCTGATTTTTTTTTTAATATTCGCGAAACATCGCTTTGGTTAACTCCCACAATTTCAGCTATTGCAATTTGCCGGTAGCCCTGTTGAGACAGTGTTACTATTCTGACTCTATTAAACTGTGAAATAATGTTTCTAGGCATTTTAAGGCCAAAACAATGGTCGAATTTCTTCTGACCAAAAATCGAAATGTGCGAGAATTTGTAATAATATTGGGTCTGAACGATAAACATTGATTACCATAAACATTTTAACAAAAAACTGTTTATTACAAGCTATGTATAAAAAAAGATTCTTTAAATTCCTTTCCGTATATTTGTAAACGATATATGCAATAATTTTGGCCATGAATGTGTGTATATCCTGGTCGGCGCTGGGCGCGGCGATACAACAGACTGTATAAAGACATTTGTTATTATGTTCATGTGATCCTTTTGTTTTGCAACTGTTATTAAAGCTGGTCAATGAAGAACTAATTTTTTTAACAATCTCTTTAATATTCCAAATATAAATTGCGATATTGCAAAACAAAATAGGTTTATGAGATTTAAACAATTATCTTTCAGTGTTAAAATGTTTACCCACATAAAACTATTTAAAATCAACCACTTACGGGTATCATAAAAGATAAAAAATACAAATTATGTAATATACCGAGTAATTTTCTCTTTTTCTAAAACAACAATAGTTTTATAAATGCGTAAACATAAATAAAACTGAATACCGTAAAATGGGGTGAATAGAAACATAGTGGTGAATAGAAACAAAATTTCTGAAAAAAATCAAATCACGATTTAAAATATTCAAAGTAAAAAAAGTCGACATATCTAATTTTTCTATCAATGGTAATACACAATAAAATGTAAAAACTATATTTTTATCTGTGGCAGCACTGTTTCTGTCAATCAGCTGATCAATAAATGTGAGATCGATTTATCACCTATTTTGTATGGCGCGAAAACTTTATAAATAAAATATTTATTTTTAAAGTAATACATAAGCTGGTACATGTAAGTTGTCATATTATATGTATTGTTAATTATTGTTAAACTTACTTAAATATGTAATAATTTACTGTTTCTAATCACCTTGTTGGAAATAGAATAGATAAAAACATTAACATCAATGTGTGTTTCTATTCTCCCGAATAGCAGGTGAATAGAAACACAAATGCTATTTTTATTTAATATTTATATGCATATTTTTCAAAAATCAAATTATATGTATACGCAAAGAACAAACAAAGACCCATGTTTTAAAATATTCGGGAAAATAATACCACATTTTTATCAACCGGTATATCGCTAATAGCCTACGAAACTGTTTCTATTCACCCCATTTTACGGTAATGGAAATTAAATCTACAGACTATACAGGGTGTATCACAAAACATGTGCCATCTCTCGTGATTTATTTTTCATATCAACATAGATCCGATTCTGCTTTGTTTCGTAACTACAGGGTGTTAAAGTCTTAATAATCTTTCGATTTATTATAATTTTCTTCCATAGTGATTCGAATGAAATTTTGGGGGAAAAAGTTACTATAAGTCTTACATATTTTAATGCTAAAAAAGTGTCAATAAATTTATCAGGGACGTACATATGGGTTATCACTGGAATATTTTTGAAAAATAAAATGTGCGCCACTGACTTTTTTCTTTTGATATCAAAATTGTGTAGGCCGTTTAATGCCAATTAGAAGTTATCTCTTGACATCTTGTCCAATTCGGCCTCCTTGATAAGATAAATGCCATTTTATTAATCACAATCAATAAAATTAAAATAAAATTAATAAATTATATATTTCACCCTATTTATTATTAAATATTATTACTATTAGTTATTATTACTATCAATTAGTCCAACACACAGCAGTTTCAAATAAAAAAATAATGGTATTTAAAAAAAATAATGGCCCTTGCCACTTCCAAATAGCACCTTGGTCAAAAGATCTATAATATATGAGGGCCGAAAGGTCTCTAATCATCTGCCGGCAAGAACAGTTAACCTAATAGGACTGCTCATTCAGCCAAAAGTGTCCGCCAGGTGCATGCGAAAACTACTCGCTTTGTGACGTCATTGTAGTCCTTGTCATGATTATTAGTCCTTATCCGGCAACCAATAATACACACAGGTGCATTATTAGTTGCCGAATGCAAAACGTTCATTATTTAGTTTATTTATTTAAACACCTTATATGTATGCAGTATAGAAAATTAACTGTATAAATCGTATTAAATACTCGATAATGCATTTTTAAGAACAGCAGTTCCCAGCATTACCTTATGCAAGCATTCTTTTTAGAGTACTTCCATATTTTGCTTTAAAATAATTAATAAACAAAATCGTGGGCACTTAGTATGCACTTTGTCACAATCCACAACACAAAATGAACGTATTTATACACTATATAGCTCTAAAAACTTTAAAGACACCTTTTTCACATTTAAAATTGACAAAATAATTAACTCAAAATTTCTCAGCTGTTATTTTTATAAGTTTAGCATAGGCAACTAATAATACACACTATCATGACAAGGCCACGAAGGCTTTGACAAGGACTACAATGACGTCACAACTGTCAGCTGAAGCGCGGGAAGAGGCGAACGTACGTCTTATGAGGATGAGCAATCCTATTAGTTTACCGTTCTTGATCTGCCGGTTGCTTTAAGATTGGTTAATTCCATAAAAACCTTTCGAAGGCTACTGAAAAAGGAACTTTTAAGCAGGGCATTTTACAGCGTTGACGAATTCTACCGGGACACCCTTGATATTAGTGTTTAGAGTTTAGAATTGCCTGTCTGACATATTCTTTTTAGCTTTATTTTTTATCTTATCTTTATTCTGTATATTGTATATCGTCCTATTGCTGCCAAAAGTCACTAACTAACATTTTTCCGAACAAACAAATTCAATCACTAACTGTATTTTGAAGCGGAGAATCGATTGAAAAAGTACGATTTCTGGCTATTTATGTTGTATTTTAATACCGAATAGTTACTAACTATAACACTTTTATGCAATACAATCAGAGGCGCAACTATGGCGGGCCAGGGGGGCTTAGCCCCCCCCCAGATAACCCGTACGTGTCTTATAAAATTAGTCTTAACCTCACATCAATATTATCTTATAGTGACCTAAGCCCCCCAAAAAGAGTTAAGCCCCCCTAAAAGTATATGTCTAGTTGCGCCCCTGAATGCAATCCATCTTTAGACGCGTTTTTCTCGAAAGTAATAAAAAGTAAGTTAGTGACCTTTGGCAGCAATGGAACGATATGTTAGTTTACTTACTTATTTAAGCCTATTTTGCTGAATTCTGTTTGTATTTTTTGTTTTTATATTTACACACATTTATTTACTGTTTTTTAATGTTAAAATTGCTGGCAATAAATATTTTAGGTTTAGATTTAGGAATATGCTTTGTTAACAAAAATTTATATATTTTTTAACAATAAAGTACTTTTGAATTGAAAATTGAATAAGATAATTACAAAAAAAAACTAATTTTAAAAAGTTTTAACATCCTGTAACTCTAAAACTATGCATTTCCATACCCATGTTTATAGGATTTTTTTTCAATTTTTTGATGAGGAATCAATGAGTACTTATTTAAAACTTTCGCAAGTTAATGATATTAAATTTTTTTAAAGATTGCTATTGACTTGGATCAAGGCAAATTAATAAAATTGCGTTTATTTCGTCAAGGAGGCCGAAATCGACAAAATATCAAGAGACAACTTTTAATCGGCATTAAAGTGCTTATACTATTTTGTTAACAAGAGAAAAAAATATCAGTGGCGTACATGCTTTTTTAGAAAAATATTCCAGTGATAACCCATATGCACGTCACTGGTGAATATGTCGACACTTTTTAAGCTTTAAAATATGTCTCATTTATGTTACTTTTACGATCAAAATTTTATTCGAAACGCTAAAAGTACTTGGATGAAAAATTATAATAGATCAAAAAAATATTAAGACTTTAAAACCCTGTAGCTACGTAACAAAGCAGAATCGGACCTACGTTAATATGAAAAATAAATCTTATTTTTATGTGAGGAATCTCCCCACGAGAGATGGCACATGTTGAGACACCCTGTATATTTGTACAGCAATAAAAATATTGCAAAACAAATTACAATGCCAAATTTCTTTCCACTGATCCTCTGTCTGGTTTGATATAGAGACCCTCCAATTTTGCATGTAGGTAATGTTTGGAAGATAAAATGCCTAAAAGATAAAATATAGATAGTATTAAACTTCTAATGCTAAATCATCAATATTAAAGTTCATTATACCATACATTCAAATAAAAAACGGTGTCAAAGACGGCTGGGGAATGATAATCAATGATAATTTTGGCAAGATCGAAACCCTACAGTCAGTTGGACTTAAAACGGTTGTAATTTATTTTCATATTGAGAAAAAACTCGATTCTTTGGAAATAGATTTGTGTGCCTGGAAATGTTCTATCCTTTTTAATCTTTCCATAACTAGTATTACAGATATTAAACATTTTAACATGGCAACACTGTCGCTTACAGATCCACACCGTCTTCGATATGCCTTCGCTGACCGAATTAGAAAAAATAAGTGTTTTATGCGTTGGCCGCAGAACGATTGGTGTCTCCACCGTACGGCACTTGAGACGTAAGGGGAAATCAAATCAGCCTTGTCACAAATTCGCCCATTAGGTTGCATGTCTTCCTAATTCTTTCATCAACGCTAGAACCGTTTTCAGACACACAAACCTATTTCCGAAAAAATATTTTTTGTCCAATTTTAAACTACCATTAAAACTAATTTTTCTCTCCAATTTTAAAATTACCATTTAAAACCCAGTTTTACTCAATATAAGAATATCACACTCCTCTTAAGGCCAGCTGACAGTGTGCACCATTAGAAAATAAAGAAGAGTACGGACCAAGTAAATAACGTATAGAGCTTGACCTCGCCAAAATTATCATCGATTTTCATTCTCCAGCCGTCTTTGACACCGTTTTTTTTCGATAGTATAGTACTATTTCTTGTTTATTTTTTAAATGGCTTTGTGTAAAGTGTATAAAGTAAAATGTAATGGGATGGCAATAGAATAACTAATAAAATTTTATATTCTTAATTTGGACTGTAATCCAGTGTCTACCTTATATAGGGTTGCCAACCGTCCTCTATTCCAGAGGACAGTCCTCTTTTTGATCTCACTGTCCTCTTTTCTGTCACGTATTGAAAAAGTCCTCTTTTTACATACCGAACACAAAATCTAATAAATATTCGTCTATCGTCACAATGAATGCTTTAAAAAATTGTTAATCTGTGTCTTTCACTACTCCCACTCGTTTGTACAGAAAAGAAAAGAAGAAATATTTATATACAAGAAATATTTTTAGAGGCGATAAACATGTTTAATTATTTTATGTTTACTTACTGTTTAGCCCAGTCGACAAGTGGTTTTAGGTGGAAATAATTAGGGGCAAGCTGCGATAACACTTATTCTCTTTGTTTTGCTTTGTTGAATACTCTACTAAATTTGCACGGTCTATGGATCCCGGATTTGGCCGCCATATTGGAAAATCCTGTCAAATTATGACATTTTTATGTTTTTTTTTAAATAACTCGGTCTGGGTGCACTGTACAGAAAATTTGCAAGAGACCAAAAAGAAAGCTATTTAAATTCTCTACAAAAAAGGTCCTATTCATCGATTTCGTGCATGAACAGGTCAACTAGATACAGGCGCTTAAATACAAAGCATATATTTTCTAGTGGTTCATTTAATATGAGAAACTGATGTAAATTTGAATAATTTGCCAGTACAAATTTGTGTTTTTTTTGTGCTCGTTTTCACACCACCTGGCGGTAGAGCACTCGGCGCTCTTTTTTTAAGTGGTTTCCCCTATAGGCCTAATCCACTTTTTCTTGCCGTTGCAAATGTTCTATTTTTATATCCATATGACATGATACGCTTTATAAGTATGTATTTTCACCGTCTGCCAGGTTTTCACCGTTTTTTTTTGACGTAGAAGGTTGATCAATTGACTCATCAATATATTCTTCATCAAACTGTTCATCTGGTTCTTGTTCAATGTCTATGTCTTCGATATTTTCGTTGGTCATTAATAATTCTTCTAATCGAAAATCGATTTCTTCGTCGTCTCCTGGATCTTCTAGAGTTATTTCAGAATTTGTGTGTGAACACGCTCTTCCCTGACATGAACCGCACACTACCGAACAGTGTAATCCTGCTTTTCTGCAGCTGCAGGCTGCGTTGCAACCTTTTATGCATTTACAAGAAATCATCTTCAATAACTCTTAGGGAGCGGCGTCTTGCAGCATAGGAGGAATCGGTATAAGTCCATTGGACGACTGCTTTCAACCCCAGTCAATGGATATTTTTTCGTTACCGTACAATTTTTGGACTTGTAGGTATGTACGAAATGAGTGCATGCGAGCCGCATCTTCGGTTGGAGGGAGGGATGCAAGATTAAATAAACTCTTTGTTATAGATTGCGCAAAAAATCGATGTCTATAGATGCGTAGTGATGTGTCGTCGCTCTTTGACCCATAAAGTGCAAGAAGAAATTGAATTCCAACGTTGGCTATGCTTTCTGGAGTTGCATTTGGGTCTCTAAAACAGTAAATGGCAGTTTTCAAACTTGTCTGATTTCTTAGAACCTTAAGGAACTTCATTTTACCCTACCTGTAAATTGCAAAAGTGGTGTCGCACCCACTAAATGCATGTAGAAAAAAATTGTGTTCATTCACAGCCGTGTCCAATATTGATGCAGAGGGTGAATAGCGGGTATTTCCAGCTTTTCCTTTCCTTGCTTTAAAAAGTAGATGTTATTCTGAGACTCGCATAGTGCAGTAAGTATAACCAGTAAATCAATGTTCTCGATTAGAAGAATTAATGACCAACGAAAATATCGAAGACATAGACATTGAACAAGAACCAGATGAACAGTTTGATGAAGAATATATTGATGAGTCAATTGATCAACCTTCTACGTCAAAAAAAGCAGACGGTGAAAATACATACTTATAAAGCATATCATGTCATATGGATATAAAAATAGAACATTTGCAACGGCAAGAAAGTGGATTAGGTTAGGTTAGGTTAGTGGAACCCACTTAAAAAAAAGTGCGCCGAGTGCTCTACCGCCAGGTGGTGTGGAAACGAGCACAAGAAAAACACAAATTTGTACTGGCAAATTAATCAAATTTTGATAGAATCGGGTTCTCATATTAAATGAAGCACTAGAAAATATATGCTTTGTATTTAAACGCCTGTATCTCGTTAATCTGTTCATGCACAAAATCGGTGAATAGGAATTTAAATAGCTTCTTTTTGGTCTCTTGCAAATTTTCCGTAAAGTCCACCGAGTTATTTAAAAAAAAACATAAAAATGTCATAATTTGACAGGATTTTCCAATATGGCGGCCAAATCCGGGATCGATAGACCGTGCGAATTTAGTAGAGTATTCAACAAAGCAAAACAAAAGAGTAAGTGTTATTGCAGCTTGCCCCTAATTATTTCCACTTAGGCCTATTTAAAACGACCTACCGACTGGCCTAGTTAGCTTATGTTTTGAAAAAAAAAGTTTTGTTGAAAACAGTTTGTTTTTTAATATTTTTTTTTAAGTAAGAAAGACTGGGTATCAGTCGCATACCGTTTACATAACTTTTTGGTAAATTCTGGACATTTGGGCAAAAAATGTTGTACCCCTTTTTTACCCTCTCATCCTCTATTTTTTATTTTGAAAGTTGGCAACTCTAACCTTATACCACATTGATATCAAGTGCCTTGTAGGTATAGTAAACGCCACGAATGTTTGGGAGTGATTCATCGGTCGCTACCATGTGAACTAATCTGTTCAAGGTCACATAAAACTTAATTCCAGTGCCGTGGTGTTTCAAATCATATAATAATCAATATATAATCTGTTGTTTTAACTGTCAAAGTCTTGTCAAAACATATATGTGGTTATAAATATAAAATGGAATGCCCCATTGGTCGCACTGCAAGCACACCAATGGATCAAACCAAACAAAAACGAATCAATCAAAGAAACGCGATATAGTATCGTCTTTGTCAATCACGCTAACATTTTAGAATAAGTAGGAGGAGCGCAGGCAGATGATTAGACCGGGCCTTAAAAACCTACGTCTGCGGTAAAAATTTACGTTTTTAATGTAAAAATGATAGCGCGCGTGTCGATTCTAACTTCATCAAGCGATAAATCACTCCCAAACATTCGTGGCGTTTACTATAACTTTCGTTTAAGCCAAAGCATCACCATAAAGGATGTCAAGTGTCAGAAGGAGAAATAGTTACGTGAGAAGCACTACATGTATTTTATACTTAGAAAATTATTTTTGCAGATAAAAGAACAGGAATTAATGTTAGAACAGACCAAACTCTTCATGGGAAACATAACCTCTGAAAATTGCATGCTAAAAAATGAAGTGACTTCCTTAAATAAGCTGCTGCTTGAGACAGGTGCAGGTGATATCAAAAAGCAGATCGACACAAATAAGGAAGAAATCGCACAGTTCCAAGAGGAAATTCAAAAAGTAGATACAACATGATGAAAAAGTTTTATAATCATGTGTGATTTGCACGATATAAATCTGCTTTGCATGGCAGTATAACAATTCTTATAGAAAAAAATATTAGAATCTTTTAACTAACCAAGTCAAAGCTCACTTGATCATAAAACTTTCTGAGCGCTAGTTCATATCAAATAAACTTTTAGTCACGTGATTAAGCTTGACCGGCCCGGTTTACATCATAGACTTAAAATAAAATATAGACTACACTATTTACATCTGAACGCGGTCAAACAATCATTTTTGTACACATGTTTACTTCTGGGTACACTCGACCGCAGCCGACCAACCCTTCCTCGTCCAACCTATGTTGTCACGTCTTTAATATTATCAATATTTTTTTACTTAGTATACACATATGTTGATATCTTAATACTGCATTTTAATTAAGTAGGTTTTAATATTCCATAGATGTATTAAATAGTCCTTATACTACTTAATTATAAGTCGAATACTATGTAAAAAGGATAAATCCTTTACAATATGGCAACACCGATTAGAGGCGAGGTCGCCTGTTCATTCATCTATTAAAGTACGCGTCGCACGTGTGTAGTAAAGTATTGTTGCCGCTACTTCTCTCTGGTTGTATTATTGCATTTTCTTAGTTTGTAGTCCTTAAATGTTTATTTTATTTACTTTTTGTATTCAAGAACTATAAAATATAGTTCGCCAGTGCCAAATTTGCAAGAAATTTGACTTAAATAATCCATTTAAGTCTTGAAACGACTTTCGACCGGTAGGCAACTCTCAATTTACCAATCGGGAGTCAGTGGCGTTGTTGTAGAAATGCGCTTATTTATATATTTTAGTAAAATGTAAAATCTGATTTTTTTTCTAGTATATAAACATTTATATAAAAGTTTTTGTAACATAGAATAAGTAGGAGGAGCGTAGGCAGATGATTAGACCGGGCCTTAAAAACCTACGTCTGCGGTAAAAATTTACGTTTTTAATGTAAAAATGATAGCGCGCGTGTCGATTCTAACTTCATCAAGCGATAAATCACTCCCAAACATTCGTGGCGTTTACTATAACTTTCGTTTAAGCCAAAGCATCACCATAAAGGATGTCAAGTGTCAGAAGGAGAAATAGTTACGTGAGAAGCACTACATGTATTTTATACTTAGAAAATTATTTTTGCAGATAAAAGAACAGGAATTAATGTTAGAACAGACCAAACTCTTCATGGGAAACATAACCTCTGAAAATTGCATGCTAAAAAATGAAGTGACTTCCTTAAATAAGCTGCTGCTTGAGACAGGTGCAGGTGATATCAAAAAGCAGATCGACACAAATAAGGAAGAAATCGCACAGTTCCAAGAGGAAATTCAAAAAGTAGATACAACATGATGAAAAAGTTTTATAATCATGTGTGATTTGCACGATATAAATCTGCTTTGCATAACAGTATAACAATTCTTATAGAAAAAAATATTAGAATCTTGTAACTATTCAAGTCAAAGCTCACTTGATCATAAAACTTTCTGAGCCGTACGGTATAAAATATACCTATAGTTCTTATCAAATAAACTTTTAGTAACGTAATTAAGCTTAACCGGCACAGTGTTGCCCACTTTTACATTTTTTTTATTAAAATATTTTAGAAAACAAAAATAAATTAATTATAAATATATAAACGGTTATTATTTACATCAATAAAACTCACCTTCTTAACAGCACTTACGGAACATAAAAGGCCATTAATGCCGCTTTCCCGTTCAAAATATTCTAATAAAGTTGCGATGAGTTTTTTACGGCTATTAAGCTATCTTGAACACTTCGCACTAAAAGAGGTTCTAAAAAAACAATGTTCGACTGTAAGGTCTGCTAGTAAAAATTTTTAAACTTCAAGTATCACTACAAAATTCATTTAAACGAAAAACTCGTAATACAAAACTAAAGTGTCAAAACGCATGACAATGTCAGGAAATAAATAAACAAATGTGGCAACTTGACATTTTTTACAGCAGAGGAACCACCTGAATCCCCAGCGGGAAATTTAAATTCCGGCAGCCCGATTTAAATTCATTGTTGCCAATCATGGACATATTCGCGCCCTTGATTACGTAACTAAAAGATAAATTGGTATCGATTATAGAACCAAATTCTGAACATCTTCGACATTTTGTCATTAACCCCACTTTTTGCATATGTTTTAGGATTTTTTCGCCCACTGAGGACGATCTCCATAACTTTTGGCATACCCTGCATGCTTTATTTTGAAACCAATTTATTAAATGTACTATTTTAGTTACAGAAAGAAAAACGACTTCTTGCTGTCGAATTTGAGGGCATACAGAGCGAAAATGCGGTATTACTACAGAACCAGGAAATAGCTTACAAGAACTTACAACGACAAATAAAGGAATTGGAAAAAGTCAATCACCAGAATAAACATTTGAAAGAAAAATACGAAACAGAACATCACACACTTCAAAGTAAATTTTAAAAAAATAGTGTAACATATGATAAAATAGCATATTGCTTATATTACTTTAAATGTGGTAGACAATGATTCGGTATTAAAACTAAAAGAATTTCGGACTTACCATTTTCTTTCTTTATTTTGCTTACACGACGTTTCGGTAAGAAGTATCAATAACCGTTATCAAATGCGAACTAATCTACTAGAGCCGAGCATCCACCATTAAAGTTATTTGGGTGTAGTCAAGCATGAGGTTCTTTCTCCATTAGGAAACACCTTCATTGGAGCATTTTATGAGTGGTTGCCATATTGTTGAAATTTTCATACTTGGATCGCTAAAGATTTTACTATTGTTAGAAATAAATATGGCCTCTGCAAATTCGCGCTTTTTCCAATGGGGTTCTTTGTGGACAACCCGGGCTTCCCACCATTTTATGTTGCGGTGCTTCGGTTCAGTATCACGGTCAGTGATACTTCTGACCGAAACGTTGTGCAAGCAAAATAAATAAAGACAATGGAAGTCCGAAATTCTTGTAGTTTTAATATTTCTTATATGTTTAAGCTCTGCAAAATGAGAGAATGAAATATCTAGAAGAAAAGAGCTTGTTGAAATCGATTATACAACAGTTGAAAGGGGAAATTGCAAAAGTTCCGCTATTAGAAGATGATCTAACTAATGTGTCAAGGAAGGCTAGCAAATTAGGAGTAAGTATGGTGGAATTTTGAATCTATTATCTAATTTTTTAAAAAAAGTAATATATATTTTGTTAATTTGTTATTTAGCTACCAAAGTAAATAATTCGTCCTTAAGGCCTTTATAAAAACTTTTATTTTAATAAAAGCACCTTCAGTAAGAAATGCCGTATGATTGAAAAAAACGGCGTCAAGACCTATACATATAAATGACGATCGTTGACTTTATCCATATAATTTTACATATAACATGACAGCGATCTTCATTTCTATGCCAATGTACGTTTTACACAAAAATTAAAAGTATTTTTAATAACATATTTTTTTTCAAACGTCTCAAGATAAAAAAGTCATTTTAACGCCTAGGCATAAAGCCGGAGTCTCATGCATCCGAAATCCGATGACACGACGATCCGACGGTGCTCCTATTGGTCGAAATATTTTGACAACAATTTTTATCCGATAATTTTAACTAATCATCCGACGTCGTATAAAGTTAAATTTTGTTTAACTTTTGTACGATATCGTGTGTTTTTTAACCTCACTTTTCAAAGTAAATAATTTGTTTTTAACCTCACTTTATAAAAACATTTATTTAAATAAAAGCACCTTCAGTAAGAAATGCCGTATGATTGAAAAAAACGGCGTCAAGACCTATATAAATGACGATCGTTGACATTATCCATTTAATTTTACATATAACATGACAGCGATCTTCATTTCTATGCCAATGTACGTTTTACACAAAAATTAAAAGTATTTTAATAACCTATTTTTTTTCAAACGTCTCAAGATAAAAAAGTCATTTTAACGCCTAGGCATAAAAGTAAGGCACTTTTACGCCTAATCATAAAAGTACGAAAATATGTTATTAAACTGACATAAAGTGTCAAATTCAACGAGCGTAACCATAGTTTCTCGATATACAGGGTGCTCCGAACTGTATTCTGCAGATAAAAATAAGTAAAAAAGTTCGTATAAATGTATGTCCTAAAATGCTTAGTCTCGGAGATACAGGGTGTAGGAATTTCATTTTTATTACGATTTTTTCCAAATAATTTCTGAAGCAACGTCAATATTTGGATTAAAATTGGTGGAGTTTTTTGACATGAGAAATTTGATTTTAATATCAATATGCGACTCCTATTTGTAGGGGGCGGCGCCTACATGTGTTTTAACTGTTTTAAAGTGTAATGACTTTTTTTCCGTACCTGTATAAACTATTGAGTGAAGAAATATACAGGGTGATTCAGATTTTACTAGAATAACTTCAGGTATCTCGATAGAACTAACCGAAATAATGATAGTTTGTATTATAAACCATACTCCAAAAACGCTTCCGCTTGGAGTAAAATGGCGCTAAAATTTGAATTATTTTTCGGTTTTTATTTTATTACTCGTAAGCCAGAGGATCTAAATAAGCAAATGTTTGGTTAAATGCAAAGGGCAACGTGGCTGATATGTGTGAAAAAAATTGGATTAATTGCTATACAGGGTGTTGTTTTTGTGAGTGTCAACTGCACGGAACCTTGTAGAACTTTTTTGTCGCACGCCACTGGATAAATTTGTATTTTTTTCTGATACCTTCCGTCATTTTACTAACTTTTCTTGTTCTTCAATTTTTTTGATATGTCGCTTAGTTTTCGAGATATTCCACAAAATTCCGGACATGGCTCAGCTGCGTTCGAAAAATGTTACTTAATTATAGTGAACGCCACGAATGTTTGGGAGTGATTCATCGGTCGCTACCATGTGAACTAATCTGTTCAAGCTCACATAAAACTTAATTCCAGTGCCGTGGTGTTTCAAGTCATATAATAATCAATATATAATCTGTTGTAATTTGTTGTTTTAACTGTCAAAGTCTTGTCAAAACATATATTTGGTTATAAATATAAAATGGAATGCACCATTGGTCGCACTGCAAGCACACCAATGGACTGACGCACAAAAACGAATCAATCAAAGAAACGCGATATAGTATCGTCTTTGTCAATCACGCTAACATTTTAGAATAAGTAGGAGGAGCGCAGGCAGATGATTAGACCGGGCCTTTAAAAACCTACGTCTGCGGTAAAAATTTACGTTTTTAATGTAAAAATGATAGCGCGCGTGTCGATTCTAACTTCATCAAGCGATGAATTATTCCTATGCTCCTCCTACTTATTCTAAAATGTTAGCGTGATTGACAAAGACGATACTATATCGCGTTTCTTTGATTGATTCGTTTTTGTGCGTCAGTCCATTGGTGTGCTTGCAGTGCGACCAATGGTGCATTCCATTTTATATTTATAACCAAATATATGTTTTGACAAGACTTTGACAGTTAAAACAACAAATTACAACAGATTATATATTGATTATTATATGACTTGAAACACAACGGCACTGGAATTAAGTTTTATGTGACCTTGAACAGATTAGTTCACATGGTAGCGACCGATGAATCACTCCCAAACATTCGTGGCGTTTACTATAGCAACATGCCTTGGAGAACTTAATTCAAATTTTGGCGCCATTTTACTCCAAGCGGAAGCGTTTTTGGAATATGGTTTATAATACAAACTATCATTATTTCGGTTAGTTCTATCGATACCTGAAGTTATTCTAGTAAAATCGGAATCACCCTGTATATTTCCGTGACGTTTTACGTAAAAAATGTCTCTTGATAAAAATTGCTACGAGCAACCGTTCTGAAGATATTTAAAACGGTAAAGGTCAATACATGTCATTTTTGACAAAAAATAAACACGTTGAGTAGATACTTAGCTATTTGACTGAAATTATAAATTTAATTTTTTATTATATTAACCATAAATGTTTCTGCGAAAAAATGATGATAAATCAGTTTCTGTTGAACTTTTGGCACAAAAAACATTTAAAATTTATGATTTCAGTCTAATAACTATTTAGTCAACATGTTTAATCTATGTCAATGATGACAGGTACATATTGATAAATTCGATTCCAAATATCTCGATACCCATTACTCGTAACGATTTTTACCAAAAGACCTTTTTTAAGTAGAAGACGTCGTAAATGTATGTTTTACTCAGTAGTTTTATACAGGTACCCACAAAAAGTTATTACTCCCCAAACCAGTTAAAAAATATGTAGGTGGTGCCCTCTACAATTACGAGTCATGTTGACATCAAAATCAAATTTCTCATGTCAAAAAACTGCTAGACACAAATTTTCATCCATATATTGACGTTACTTCATACATTTTTTGGAAAAAATCGAAATAAAAACTTCTACACCCTGTATCTCCGAAACTAAGCATTTTAGGACATACATTTATAGGAACTTCTTTACTTATTTTTATCTACAAAATATGCTGCCGAAATTTCCGGAATACAGTTTGGACCACCCTATATAATTACATACAAGGTATGACTTTTAAATCTTCTTATATTACTAGAAACGTTTGAAATTGTTTAAAAAATTATTAGTGGCCTTTGAAAAAAAATAGCATGTTCTATTCGGAGTAAAAATGACTTTTTGTGCCACGGCTGTATGTCGGACTCAAACGCTCGTCCGTCAAACGTACAACCTCGCCACAGGAAATGCCATTTTTACTCCTAATAAAACAATATACTATTATTCCTTTTCATTCATACCGTACGATCGAAAAAACAGCGGCAACGATAGCTATGAAATGAAGATGTCATTTTATATGTAAAATTAAATGGAAAATGTCATCGATCGTATTTCCAAACCAACTGGACGCCGTTTTTTTTTCGATCATACGGTATTTCAGTGGACGATTCAAAGTGGTTATTACAACTTGAATAATAGCAACCTGTGTATCAATAGTAGATATCAATAAAGATATTATTTTTACATATTTCAACGATATTTTCCCACAAACCTGATATAAGGTTTGTTCCAACCAGCATTTCGGGATCGTTTCGTACTCGAATCGGTTTTCTTGCACTTTGTTAGCATGCGCGGACTTCGAATAGTTTCGTAACGGTGCAAAAAGTATCATCGTTGGAACGTTTTGTGGATTGTTTTCGGGACTGTCAAAAATGTCAAGCGTGCGGGTATCGATCGGCTTTTTGTTTTTGTTCGAGGAAACAAGAAAATACGATTAAAGCTTACCTAAATATTGTTCATTTTTCACCCTTTCACTAGGCAGCAACTCCAAATTGTCACTATCTGAAGTGGAGGTAAAGAAATCAGTCATACCATCGTCACTCATCCTTAATTATTATCTATAGATAATTATGAAAGTGTACAATTTAAAATTTCCGAACGATTTAGTCCATACAAACTCACAAGCAAAAGTATAACGCACACGTAATAAATATGTAATAAATAGTTAATTCGTAACACGTAATGAATAGTTAATTCGTAAAACATAACCAAGACAGAAACATTAGTCGAACGCCGGACCAGAATCAGCTGTTAAAAATCCATAATCCCTGCCAATATGCTTTATTGCGCCCGCTTTATTGCGCGTTATTAAGTCAACCCAAACAGTCCTCAATTTGGACCATGTACCGAAATTACCGTTCTGAAATCGTAACTAAACGATCCCAAGGTGGTTGGTATGCAAATAGGATCGTCCGATAACCGTCAAACCCCGGTTGGAACACATTTGAATTACTGCGCACGAGTGTGACCGTTCGGTGACGGTTCTGCGGCGGGTTGGAACAAACCTATAAATTCATATTCGAAAACATTTAAATTTTTTTTACAGTTAATAGCCGAATACAATAAGCAACAAGGAGAAAAATTGAAAGAAGAAATAATCGAAAGGGACAAAGTAATCACTCAGTTGAAAGACAACGTGCAAAAATTGAACGAACTACAGATTGAAAATGCGAAAGAAAAACTATCGTTGTGCTACGAACTAAATGAAGTTTGTCAGTTAAAGGAAAAACTCAGCGAAGTCCTGAACACGGAAGTAAGAAAGAATGCCGAATTGGGCCAATCTAAAGAAGCCATAGCTAAATCGGTAAAGACCAGCAAACTAAATCTAAATATAAGTTACTAAAAAAATCTGAATTATTGAATCTTAGTTTTTTTAATAGAATACTAGGTATATTTTATTTTTTATAAATTGTTTCTTTTTTTATTGTTTTTTGAATTGTTTATTTTTTTATTATTTGGATTTTTTTATTATTTTGATTATTAAATCTTAGTTTTTTTTAATAGAATACTAGGTATATTTTATTTTTTATAAATTGCGACCTCAAAATATATCTCAATTAGAGTTTAACAAGCGTTTAACCATAGAAAAATGGTTGTGGATAGTTCAAATCATTGTTATATTACAAAAGCTCTATTATCTGACAAACGAATCTAAAACAGCGAAAGGAATTCGTGCAAAAAAAGTCGATGTTGTCACGTTTAATTATAGAAAAGCAAAGTTGCTCGATATTACCTATAAATTGAATATATTTTAGTTCATTTCAGCATACATAATTATATATATGCTAATATGTTGACGTAGTTCTTATTGTAATAATGTATATTTATCTAATTAAGAGATTTCGTTCATTCTGCCTATTATAAAAGGTAAAGTATTTCCTTACGATAAAGTCCGCTTAGGGTAAGCTGGCAACGCTGACAAAATTCATCATGGTATTCCGGATTCAACCAGTCTGATTGGTCGAGATTCTCGCACGTCTTGTCGCCATTACCCCCAACTTTATGCCCCTCTCTAGGAATAGTAGAAACAGTCACTACTATTGAAAAATCCAGTGGCGGTGTTATTGTATTGTGTTTTATATCTTTAACTTGATTTGTGGTTATTGTAATTAGTACATGCGTTTTAACAAATATTACTATATTTGGCAAATGACTAAACAAAATGTAGGTACATTTAAAGTAAAATAATATTATAAACTTTACTGGAAAATATTATAAAAATTCCTGATATATTTTTATGAAACACCGCACGCTCGTGGATATTTTATGAATGATATCGGTCATGATTTTAGAAAATTGCGATCCCCTCACCGTTACCCCGTTGTTTCAGATCCGTTTGTCAGACTGTATGCGTGTACAGAGTGAGTCGCTAGTTATATACCTATTTTTAATGCTAATTTTAATGCTTAAATTTTTAATTGCGATTTATTCTGTTTTTTAATTTTTACCTATATGTTTTTTAGTACGCCTAACATTAAAACTACTACATTAGTATATTTTTATATATTACTTATATTTAATATCAATTAAACATTTAGTTACGTAATCGAGGGCGCGATTTTTAAATTCATTGTTGCCAACTATGGACATATTTCGGCGCCGGGCTAACTAACTGGGGATTCAGGTGGTAGTTCTGCTGTAAAAAATGTCAAGTTACCGCATTTATTTATTTATTTCCTGACATTGTCATTCGTTTTGACACTGTTGGTAATTATTAGGAAAACGGGAAATCGTCCGATTTTCACCAAAATTGGTATACACCCTATTTTGAGGTCGTAGATTACGAATCTGAACTTTTTTTCTGACGATCTCTTACCGTTTTTCAGAAAAACGAAAAATTATTTCAACATCGAATTTTTCCTAATTTCTCATATTTTTAAGGTTTTCTAACACATTTTGTTAGGTATTCAATAACAAGGAGGCTATTTTTGCTATTTTCTGTTACTTTTTTAACCAATTCTATGCTAATAGAGGAAAATTTGCTAAAATAAATATGTAAACAATCGGAAAATGTTGGGTTATGTGTTTCTGACATTTAAAGCAACGTTGTCACTGTTAAACCTAAATTTAGTGCGTTTTTTTCGCCCCCTCTGGGATTGCGAAAGGCGATCGCCAGTGAAACGGCTCTTTCCCGTAACTGCTATTTTACCAGCGAGATCTGACTATTTATAACCACGAAGTTGCATGCAAAAGTTTTGATTGCATAGGTTTCAACTTCTATGCGGAGGGGGTTATCTTTTTTTGTTATATTTTATCAAGAAAAGATTAAACCCCTCCGCAAAGACGTTGAAACCAATGGAATCAAAACTCTTTCGTGCAACTACGTGGTTATAAATAGTCTCTATATAACTTCTTTGCGGAGGGGGTTAATCTTTTTTTGATATAATATAACAGGTACCTATATTTATCTATTGTCAGATCTCATAATAGGTAATTTATTTAAAATCCCTAATCACCCGAAAAAATACAAAATATGTTGCAAATTGTATGTGTATGCAACGTTGCAAATTTTCAAATTTCTAGATTAGATCTAGGATATATTTGTCTCTCTCATTACATAGGAGAGAGAAAGAAGTATATATGAAATGCCATCTGGTCTCAATTAGGAGAGAGAAAGAAGTATATATGAACTTCCATCTGGTCTCAATTTTCTTTGTTATTTTGTTAAGAAAAGTGTTTTTCAGTAAAATTTTGGACATTTTTCTATCCTCAATCAAGTGTAAGAAAATATAGTGAAATTATTACTTTATAAGGGCTGAAATAAAGAAAAATTCAATGTTGAAATTATTTTCCGTTTTTCTGAAAAATGGTAAGAAACCGCCAGGAAAAAAAGTTCAGATTCGTAATCTACGACCTCAAAATAGGGTGTATACCAATTTTGGTGAAAATCGGACGATATCCAGTTTTCCCAATAATTACCCTTTAGTTTTGTATTGCGAGCTTTTGGTTTAAATAAATACCGTATGATCGAGAAAAAACGGCGTCAGCGATGGCTATGAAATGAAGATCGCTGTCATTTTATATGTAAATTTATATGGAAAATGTCATCGATCGTCATTTCCCAGCCAACTGGACGCCGTTTTTTTTTCGATCATACGGTAGTATTGTGATACTTTAAGCTTAAAAATGTTTACTAGCAGACTTTGCAGTCGAACATTGTTCTTTTTAGAGCCTCTTTTAGTGCGAAGTGCACAAGATAGCTTAATCGCAACTTTATTAAAATATTTTGAACGGAAAAGCGGTAGAAATGGCCCTTTATGTCCCTTAAGGGCTGTTGAAAAGGTGATTTTTGTTGATGTAAATAATAACCGTTTATATATTTAGAACTAATTTATTTTTGTTTACTAAAATATTTTGATTAAAAGAAAATATCTAAAAGTGGGCAACACTGTGCCGGTCCAGCTTAATCACGTGACTAAAAGTTTATTTGGTATGAACTGTATACTTACTTACATTATTTTATTTTATTATAAAAGATAATAATACAGGGTGAGTCTTAAATAAGTGCAAATATTTACAGTGTCGGTAGATCTCGATAAAAGAAGCATATTTTCTCTTTACCATATTTCAGATAAGTCCAAAATAACCGAGTTATTTAAGTTTGAAAATTTAAAAAGAAAATGATTTTTTTTGAAAAAATTTTGAGAGCCACCGTATTTTTCCTTTATGGTAATATCAGAGACTAAGAAACTATACCTTGGGAAAATTTGCGGTAAACAGGCAGTTATAAAAAGTTTTCGAAAAATATACACCGAAATTTAAAAGAAAATGCAGGATTTTCAACATCTTTTTTAGCGAAAAATACCTCATAGTCGTGTTCTTTGAATAAGAAGACTAAGGAAGGAGCATAATGCTATCCATGTATTCATGCACGGTGGGCGGAAAAAGGACTCTAGGGTGGAGATCCTTGACAGTTCTGTTTGACGATTCATTTGACACATTTTAATTTGATTTGAAGTTTTGTGGATTTGTCAGTCTTTACGGAGCTTATTTTATGTTATTTATTATTTATTCTACTACTGATAGTTGTATAAAGGTAGTAAATCTAGATGGAAATTGTGGCAGAACTTAAATTAATAGTGACACTATTGCGATTTATCGAAAGAGACTCTAAAATAGCTGGTTGTGTAGCGTGCGGTAGATCTCGGCCAAAATCGAGTGAAATAATGGAACAACTTTTCGCTAGTAAGTGACTATATAATATACATACGTGTAGTAAACCGATCATTTATGAAATTCACTTAAATTAACTAATTATATATTTTCTCTTGCATTTTTGCTTCTATTTACTACACAAAACATCCCCCTATAGAACTTCGTCTATCATGTTAAGAAATGAAAGTAAATAATAAAGCGCCTCTCGTGTTTGTTCACATTCAAAAAATTTCAATTATATGCCTGTATATATTTTTAATATATTTTTTAAATTTACATTTTTTTAATTGAAAAGTAATATATTACATTTAAATGGAATATATTACATAACAATTATGTCAATTACAGGATTACAAGCTTGTTTCCTAACATTTTTTAAATAAAACGAATTATAAAATTTCAATATATGTATATTTGTTGTAGGTATGAAAAAAGTAAAATATAAAATGGATAAACGCTTACTTACATTGCAATAAAACTTCCACTTTTAGTTTTGCAATCCAAACGCAATATTTCTATTTCACAAAGAAAAATATCCGACAACACTAAAATCACTGAAACTTCCGCGGCTGACAACGAAAACTGAAAAATATAACGGCTCTTTTTGTTTTGGACCTGCAAAGCAACATTACGCTGTACTATTATGTATTTTTTGTTGAAATAATTGCCATGACAAAAAGTAATAATTATCAAACTTTGACATGCTTCTTAAGCTTAAAAACAAAACTGGAATTTTAATTTAATTTTATCGTTAACAATAATATTATCGTTAACTATTCTACAACCCAAGCAACTACTTTAATTGTAGCAACAGCTTGAATATTATTGAAATAATATTTAATCAAATATTAACCTGATTTTTAGGTACAAAAAATCGAGGAAAAACAGAAAAACGAAAGGTCAGCTATACGAGCTCTTCTAAAAGATATCAAAACCCTTACAGAGGAAAAGCAAGAATTAGTTAAAGAAAATAAAAGCCTAGAAAGTCAAGTAAATTGTTTCAGTTCTTAACATCACAGCATCATAATAAACTAAAAAACAAATAATCTAGATAAACAGCCTGTCTATTAAAGTGGCAGAGAAAGAAAATAAAATTAATGAGATGAACAGAGAAAGCGACAGAAAGGACCAAGAAATAGCGGATTTACGAAAAGATACCCAACGACTGGAAAAATGCAAAAATGAAATTACAGAAAAAGTGAACATAGAAACTACCAAATACGATATGAACATTCGGCAATTAAAAGTGCTCATAGATAAGGTAAGCCCGGAGTAAAAAACTACTAAAATTACACATTTAGTTTTTAGTTTTCCAACAATCAATACATTATTTACACTAATTCTACACTTTTAAGCAGATATTCATAAAGTACAGAGTGGTCGAAATTGGTCTGTTTTAACAGAGAAAACCTATTTCCTGACTAGATAGAGCAAAACCGACATGGATGTCATGGGCTCGATTTCTGAAACACATTTAATGGCGTAAACCGCCTGTTGATATTTTCACTGTCAACTGAGATACGTTTTTTTTTTAATTTTTTGCCATTTGGGAAATTGCCCATAACTTTTTTATGTCGCGGAATAATAAAATTCTGTAAAAACGTTCTTAACGCACTTTTTTAGGCACAATCCAGTGGCGGAGTCAGTTTTTTTCTATGCTTGCTCTTTTTGTCAGAATTCAAAAAAAAAATTTAAATGGAAATCGTAGTTGGCTATGAACTTAAAAAAATGCTGGCGTTTAACCCTTTCCAACGATATAAAGTTATGGATATCTATTTCTAAGAATGAGAGAAATATTAGGGTTTTTATCTTTATATCGAAACGGGCTTTGATTTTGAGTTGACCTATTTGCCTAATTATTTTTTATCACAATTTAATATTCTATATTATTATTTATCTGCATAATTAAAGACTTTTGTAAATTAGCATTCTATTATTATTAGTAATAGTAATTATTAGTATTACTAATAACAACAACTGAAATCGATACAATAAACAAAAAACAAAACTAAAAAAACGTATCTTTGAGTGACAAATATAGTTTTCTAAAAAAATCAAAGATGTTCAAATTGAGCACCCCCTTGTTGAATACACAATAAACATCTTTTGCGCACAGAGTTACAACGATTTATTAGGCGAACTGGTTTAATAAGTCCAAAAGCTTGCCTAGTAGCCTTCTGCAATTCTTCTCTCGTCCCAATGGTTCTTCCATTATACAGGGTGTCCCAGAAATGAGTGCAGATATTTTAAGGGGTGGTAGATCTGGTCAAAATAAACATTCTTCTCTTTACCATTTTTAAAATAAATTGAAAATAACCGAGTTATTTAACTTTGAAAATTTAAAAAAATAATCGCAACATTTTGAGAACCGCCGGCAGATATCGCCAACTACATCCAATTACCCGGATCAAGCCCGGAATTCAGTTAATTCGACGCACTGTGTTGCCATAGGGACAAGAAAGTATATGTTAAAAGTAAGTCATAAAATCACAACACCTGAGGAGTTTGCAGAGATGCATTACATTTTAAGATTGTGATATTATTACATAAAATAAATTAAAAGTTAAATGTTTAATAATGTATTAAAAAGTTAAATTAAAAACTTACCCAACATTAAAAAGATACTTATGACAGATCGATGTAACTGTGACAGTTCTCTTTTTCGATATACACTTAACTAAAATACACTTCACTGTGCTGCTTTACTTGTACATGCTATTATAATAACTACTAAAATAACAGTCCCCATTTTTAACATATTATTTTCATATAGGCCTCATCACAATTTGAACCACTGATTTACAAAACACCTTGAAAAGCACACATTATTTTGAATACCTTTGTGAATGAATAAATGTTGAGAATCATTGTCTCTTACCGCCACTTTCAGAACTACTTTCAATCTAAGAAAATACATGTTTCACTCAACAATTTTAAATACGTATTTTGTTTTTTCGCTAATTTTCTATGTATTTCGACAATTCCATCAACAGCCCAACCGTCGCGTCGGTCAAGAGACCCGCGCATCACTGGTAACTGCTCCTTTGTCGCGCCGCCGTGTCGAGCTTGCGTCATGCGAGGTTGCCGTAGTTTCAACAATTTCAAATTCAAGACACTCGAAGAAATCAAATTCTTATTAAATTTTAAAAATAAAACAGAAAAACATGAAAGGAAACAAACAAAACACAAATGAATTGATTATTGATAAGGTCACAAAAAAAGAAATTTCTAAAATGTTTATCGTAATTCAGAATTCAAGACATCGAAAACAGCCCGACGAATAGTCAATTCATTTTTGTTTTGTTTGTTTCCTTTCATGTTTCTCTGTTTTATTTTTAAAAGTTAATATGAATTTGATTGCTTCGAATGTCTTGAATTTGAAATTGTTGTAACTACGGCAACGTTGCTTAACATCGTCGTCTGACGCAAGCCCGCCACGACGGCGCGGCGACCGGCGACTCAAAGGACCAGTTCACATGCGGCGCTCTTGGCTGACGGTTAGGCTGTCGATGGAATTGTCGAAATACATCGAAAAAATAGCGAAAAAACAAAATACCTATTTAAAATTGTTGAATGAAACATGTATTTTCTTAGATTGAAAGTAGTTCGTAAAGTGGCGATAAGAGACAATAATTCTCAACATTTATTCATTCAGAAAGGTATTCAAAGTAATGTGCGCTTTTCAAGGTGTTTTGTAAAACAGTGGTTCAAATAAAACAGAGAAACATGAAAGAAAACAAACAAAACAAAAATGAATCGATTATTCGTTGGGCTGTTTTCTAAATTTCTTGAATTGAATTCTAAATTACGATAAACATTTTAGGAATTTCTTTTTTGTGACCTGATTGTGAATAATATGAATCATTTTATTAAATTTATTCCAAAATAAAGTTATTTTGCAGCATAACAAAGATTTTCGTAAACGTCATAAACGTAATGTTTTAGTTAATTTTCGGTGGTTTTTGTTAAGTTTTCATTGAAAGGGTAAGTACTAAAAATAATTAATGTGTTTTTTTCTGTAATTATTAATAATGAGCACTGATAAAAGATTAAATTTACCATTCCTAATTTTTAGTAGAAATTTGTCTATGAATTTATAAATGTAGAACTATGTTCCGCCGAACTATGTAGAATGTCGATAACATAAGAGGTTGCAACACTGCAAGGTTTAGATACACCGTAGGGAAATCTCAGGTGAATAAACAAGTGGCACTAAAAAGTTTTTTCAAATTTCCCGGAAAATGTCAAGAAAAATTTTAAATTTTCAACATTTTTTTTTGCAAAAAAAACCTCATAGGCGTGTTTCTGGGGTTGAACTATACTACCAGTTAAAATATTTGCACTTATTTCTGGGACACCCTGTATATAAGGTCTTTTAATTTCCCCCATAAAAAATCGAAAGGAGTTAAATCACAGGACCTAGCAGGCCAAGACATGGGCCCCTCGTTCCAACCCAATTCTTTCTAAATGTTGATTTACCTTTTCAAAAGTTTTTAATTATGCAGATAAATAATAATATAGAATATTAAATTGTGATAAAAAATAATTAGGCAACTAGGTTAACACAAAATCAAGGCCCGCCTCGATACAAACATAAAAAACCTAATATTTCTCTCATTCTTAGAAATAAATACACATAACTTTAAATCGTTGGAAAGGGATAAACGCCAGCATTTTTTTAAGTTCATAGCCAACTATGATTTCCATTTAAAAAGTTATATTGTTTATTATTTCTGACAAAAGGAGCATGTATAGAAAAAAAACTGACTACGCCACTGGATTATGCTTAAAAAAGTACCTTAAGAACGTTTTTACAGAATTTTATTATTCCGCGAAATACAAAAGTTATGAGCAATTTTCTAAACGGGAAAAAATTCAAAAAGGTTGGCAGTGCAAATATCAACAGGCCCACGGTGGAGTATTAGCATGAAAAAGGTGATCGAAATTCGAAAAAGCAAATGTGTTTAAGATTTCACAAAAAAAGATAAATGATAAGTTAAATCATGTCTGTCATGAATGGCGTTGCTATGGGTGTGTTTAGTTGCATTCATTTGTTTCAACGAAACGTCAAAGTTGTTACTTCTCAGAGATAAGAGGTAAATGGCTAAATTTTATGTTTAAAATTAAATTATTGTTGTTCTTGTGCTCCTTTTACTTTTATATTATTGTTTTGATTGAAAATGGCTCAGGAAGCTGCAGGTATGTATTCTACAAAAACATATTATCTATTTTGATATTCTCTATACTAACGATTTTTTTTGCAACTAAAAGTTAGGCGTTCAGAAAATTTGATTAAATTTGTGACATTTTTATTATACTTAGAGATTTAGTTGCGCATTTCAAAGAATTCAGCATATTGTCTATATACGTTATACTTAGTAAACACTGGGCTTTCATACAGTCAAATAAAATACTGCGACTTTTTGCGACTTTGCTGATAAAATGAGAAAAACATTCTTGGTTTCCTCTAATTTGCAAATCAATGATATACTAATGCGAGGTGTAAACCGCGATGGCATTGTTGTGTACAAAGCGATCGCATTAGTGCCATTATCGCATTAGTGCAGTATAGCACAATTTGGCATTAGTACCGGCTTTAGTGGTATAGGAATTGGTCGCGGATCAGTCGTAGCATTAGTAGTATTAGTTGCGATATTACTACTGGCATTAGTGGCATTGACCGTGGAAACACTGGAACGGTGATTTTTGTTTCTTTTTTTTAGAATCGACGAATTATCCTTTATTTTGTTCATATTATTTCCTCTTTAATTAAAAATAGCAATAATTTATATAAGGTCTACATAAAAAGATTAATAAATAATATTTTCTTGCCTTTAGCTGTGTATTTTGTCTAATTTCGAAAAATCGAACGTAGAGAAAAAAAAATGAAAAGTAAAGAGAAAATTGTTTTTGCTTGTCGTAAAGGGGGGAACCAAGCTCCACTCCCTCAACCGGTTACTGGGCCTACTCTTCATCAGGAGGGCTGTCCAGGGGCTGGTTCTCACCGATACGACAAGCAAAACTTTTTCAATATCAACAGATGATGTCGTATAGTATCGGTGAGATATTACTGCATCTCCCGTCAAAAGATGGTAAAGGGCGTTTTTCGGCCCGCTCAAATATATATGAAATGAACAAAATTCTTACAGCCTTAGTGTATATTAATAAATAATATTTTCTTGAAGAAGGGTAGGCCCAGAAACCGGTTGAGGGAGTGGAGCTTGGTTCCCCCCTTTACGACAAGCAAAAACAATTTTCTCTTGACTTTTTATTTTTTTCTCTACTTTCGATTTTTCGAAATTAGAAAAAATACACAGCTAAAGGCAAGAAAATATTATTTATTAATATACACTAAAGCTGTAAGAATTTTGTTCATTTCATACATAAAAAGATTTCGATCAACTATCGGTGTCATACCCCACTGTGAGGCGGTTTACACCACTAAACGTGTCTCAGAAATCGAGCCCATGACATCTATGTCGGTTTTGCTCTTATCTAGTCAGGAAATAGGTTTTCTTTGTTAAAACAGACCAATTTCGACCACCCACTTAGATGCAAAAAAACTCAACGGAATTTTTTTTCGTCAAGTATAAAGTGTTGTCAAATATAAATATTAATTATATAATATTAATATAACTTGCGGTTCGTACCGAAAATTTGACTCAAAATACCATGTGTGTGGTATCAAATTATTCGTAAAAAAATGCTTTTTCCAAATATGTTAATGAGCCATCCTCGTTCTATTTGAAAAAATTGAGATACGATTAAAAATACGATTTGAGCATTTTCTAACTGGCCAAGACAAGACACTAAAAACATTAGACGATCAAATTTTTTTCCAAGGCTCCTTGATGAAGAATTAGTGTTTTTAACATACACATGGCACTCTAGATTGAATTTTAAAAAACAATTTTTTATTAAGCGACCATATGATATGTCATTCTATTAAGAATGTCATTTCTATCGAATAAAGTAAAAAAATACCGAGAGTGCTATTTAAAAATCAAAAGTTGTAGTCGTTTCCGGTGAAACAGAAAGTGATCAAAAACTGAATATATCAATCAATCCTAATTTATATCATATACTAACATACCAAATCTCGTTTTTTTATCTGAAGAAATAAAAAGTTATAGGGGTGAGCCACTTTTGAGACGCACCCGGTATATACTAATAAAGGTAGGTTTATTTAAATATAAAACGATTTAAAAAAAATATGTGTTTATTTTTAATAGAATAAACCTTGATTTATAAAGTTTAAATATTATAAATTTTAAATAATGTTAACTGAAACATAAATTCATGAGTAAAACCTGGATGAAAAGCCTAACCACTTCACATGAAATTGTTTAATATTATTTAACCTAACCAGGAGACTTCGAGACTTTGTCTTCTGTAATTCAGCCTCATAAAAACACCCCTTAATTGGCTGACCTTCTACTGTGATTCTTGAATAATTAAAATTGAGTATTAAAGAAAAATAAGAATTAATGAAAATATGTCTATAACGCTATAAAAGACTAAAATCACAAAGAAATTAATGCAAATGAATGGTTTGTTTAAGGTTTGTACTTTGAATAAGAAGACTAAGGAAGGAGCATATCAAAAATCTAGGTACACCGCGATGGGCCTCAAATATGGCCGACTTAAATTCCGGTTTATCAGTGTCGTTCTAATTTTATTTAAAAAATGTAAAACTATGATGTAGGGTAGACGTGGGGTAGACTCAATAATTTGTTGTTTTATTTTACGTTGTGAATAAATGTTGGTAGTTATTAAAATTGTTATCAAAATATATAATTCTAATAAAAATAGATAAGTTATAATAAGTATTTATTACCACAAACATCCGATACGCTACTGAAGCAGGTAAGTCAAATTAACGTATCTAAATTCTTTGACATCTAATCTTTGACAAGTAATAAATAAAAGCTAAAATGCAAGAAAAATATATAATTTAGTTAATTTAAGTGAATTTCATAAATGATCGGTTTACTACACGTATGTATATTATATAGTCACTTACTAGCGAAAAGTTAAGTATAAATAACATAAAATAAGCTCCGTAAACACTGACAAATCCACAAAATTTCAAATCAAATTCAAATTTGTCAAATGAATCGTCAAACAGAACTGTCAAGGATCCCCACCCTAGAGTGCTTTTATGGCGCTTTTTCCGCCCACCATGCATGAATAGATGGATAGCATTATGCTCCTTCCTTAGTCTTCTTATTCAAAGGATTGTTGTCATTTTACATTTTCATTTCCATAAAAAAAAAAAAAAAATATTGTATATAACCAGTGGGTAATTAGGGTGGGGCTAGGGGGGGGGGGCTTAGCCTCCAGATTACTTGAGCGGGTCGTTTAAAATTGGTTTTAACGTTAAATCAATATTATCTTATAGTGACCCACCTACAAAAGCCCTACCGAAGGACTTGACTAGTCCCCCCAACAGTGTGTGTCTAGTTGCGCCACTGTATATAACATCTAACGAGGCTAGATTATTTAAAGGGGTAGTTGTATCGCGGCAACTGTATACAGAGTGTCCCAGGTTGAGCGTACATTTTTGTACATTATTGTTAACTTAGTACCTTAATTCTATTACTGCTCCTCCGTTTTTATTTTTTTGCAAGACCTCTCGGTGTTTTGGCTTTCTGTAATACTAGCCATTGTCTTCTTAAATTCTGCCATAGCGGCAAAATACCTTTCATCGCTTAAAGACCAGCAAAAATTTACAAGTTCCGCAATCTCCATCTACAAAGGGTAAAACTGTAAAAATTATAGCAAAGTGTAAGGAATTTAATTGAAAAAAATTAATCCAACCAAAAACATAATAACAAGATATAAAAAATAATGCTAATTTAAGAGGATTTTGTAAATAATGGTAAATACTTCAATAACGGCTCATTGCTAGATTGGCCTATGGCATCTATACTCTGTTTTAGCACTTAGGAAACATTTCGACAGACGATGACAGAAAAAAAAGCAGATGACGTCCATACCAATCCAATTATTTCACTAAAAAAAGTTTCTAATATTTTTTAAGTTTACCATGGATGGGTTTATTTCAAAAATTACAAATCATATTTCAATATAATTGGAGTGACGAAACGACGAACGACGCACAGTGGGCAAAAATCCAGAAGTATGTTGCAAAAATTATTTTTTTGTACGATTTTATTCAAATTTGGTAAAAACATTCTATGCCAGTAGGCCGTGAACCCTGTTAGTTTTGGCTGACTTGAGAGTGGTTGGGGGTGGTGGAGGGGATTCATAAAATGGAAAAATCATCTTTTGACTAATTCAGCTACCAAAATGCGGTAAGAATATTTTACATTTCACTAAATTTTACGATTTTTGGCAGAGCCAAGATGAAACAATTATTGAAGACAAATATTGAGCAATTCAAGACAAATATTGAGCAATTATTACTCCTCCGCCATATACAGGGTTTGTTTTATATATTGACATCCTCTGTATCTTTTTTATTCGACGTTTTCGAAAAAAGTGTCTTGAATAAAAGTTTAACGGTTTCGAATACATTTTTCAAAACAGTTATCTTTGCATATACAGGGTGCCTTAGAAATCCTGTGTGTGGCCCAACATTCTTATTTCAAATTAGGACCCAATTTTTTATTTGATTTTTATTTTCTCCTAAAAATCCTAACTACTTTTTTGTAACATAGCCTATACCTAATTTGAAATAAGATAGTTGAACCACGCCAAGACTTTTTGAAGCACTTTGTATATGCGAAGTAGATTTTTTTTCGCAAATTTATTCAAAACCACTTTCATTTGAGACAGTTTTCGGAAACGTCAAATAAAAAAGATAAAGGGGGTGTCAATGTATAAAAGAAAACCCTAGTATACTAATCCAATCAAACTTTTATTCAAGATTGTTTGTCATTTGAATAAGTTGGGTCTCTAATAATACCAGACAATATGTGAACTTTATTTTATTATTATATTTTAAATAAGTAATAATATTCTGAGAATTAAACAATGACGATTTAGAAAATAATAGAACTTATACCTATTAAAAATATCTAAATTTTATTTTACCATCTACTATTTACTGATATTTTGTTTTATAACAGCTGGAAGCAATGGTCATGAAGTGCACATTTTTAAATCTGAAAGAAAAACCCATTTCATTTAATTTAAAAAATTAGGTACTGTCAAAATTTGTCAATTTGTCAAAAAATGTAATTTGACATTTATGACATAGGACTTCGGAAATCTTGAGAAAAGTTACGTAACTTTATATTTCAAGTTCTTCTCTAGCTCTAGCTACTATAACAATTAATTTATGAGAAGTATCCACATAAAGGATGTTACTATACACATACGCATGGAGGCTTACGCTTCCAATAAATTTAATGTTGCGATTTTTTGCGATTTTTTTGACTTAACTTTTCTAAGATAGAATATATGCCACTATCAAAAAAATCTTAAATGATTATGTTCTACTTTGACCTTTACCTAGTTTTTATCCAAAAAATCAAAATAAAAGATACTTTTTTACTTACCTTCACATTAAACGTTTACCTACGTAAAATACATTATGACGATTTTACAATAATTTTTGACAGTAAGCTAAGGTCGTCCGATTCAATTGTTATAATACTGTGTCACTTGAATGCAACGCCTACTATTTAAAAAATTGTAGAAAAAAGGCAGTTATTGGACACAAATTAACTGAAAATGTAGGTTTTGCGCAAAGTTCGTTTTACAGCCCCTCGAAAGAGACTCCGAATATGTTTTTTGTTAGTTTTATGTGGTTTCCTCTTAACTAATATGTTTCCAATCTAATGTTATTGCCATAAATGCTAACTGTGGATGTTATTTTTTGCAACTTGGTTTGGACCTATTGCCTACTGTGCGACGCACGGACGCAGCTGCTTATGAACTCAACTTAGGATTTTCGAAACTTGTCAAATATAGGCTATTATTTGTGTCCATGGAGTGTAGAGATGAGGAGAAATATCTCTTGTGGGACTTTATTTGAAAAAGTGATCACCAAAAATGGGAAGAATAAGGGTTCACCAAATAACCACAGTGGCGTTAATGACGCATAAAACTAAAAAATTAAAAGTAACCATAGATAAGAGAATAAAAGTAACATAACCAAACATCACCCAAAAAAGCTTTGTTTTTATTTTTTAGAATATAAAACAATTACATATTTTTATATATTAGAGGCTCAGTCTATGGCTGCTGAATAAAAATCGATAATTTATTTTGTGACATGAAAATAAAATTTGTATTTTTTTGAAACCCGCGCCTTCACGTCAAATATTCATCTCTTTTGAATCATTTCCTGTTCTAAAAATTTTCGGCGCATATTTTAAATTTTAGATTTTTCCTACAGCAGCGTCATCTTAAGTCTTCCCTATTTCATGACCATTTTTAATACACGAAGATATTTCTCCTTACCTATACACTCCATATTTGTGTCAAATTATGCGCGTTATGGAAAATGACAACTATTTACGATACTGCTTTTCCATTTTGGTTTGTGTTATTACGTATGTTTTGTGTTTTTTAAAATTAAGATCGGACAAAAAATCGAGGAAAAAGTGTGGACTCAGAGAGTTGTATTAGCCACCAATAGTTTGTAGACCGTCTATATTGATGGTCCTAAAAACTGAAGTAGCTGTAAAAAATTACATCACAGGGTAGGTAAATAAAAATAGTTTCTAGTTTTTAATAGTGTAGACATAAGATCAAAAGGTACCGGTTTAAAAAAATTGATATTAAAATTAATTAACCAACTTTTAAGGTATAAAATTCAGTAAAGCTTGATTTTCATGCATGCGTTAACCGACGATACAATGATACAATATTAATTTTATTGGTTGAATATAAAGACTTCTATTGGTTACGCAGTTTTTAAATTTATTGCATTTTCGTGCCTCCATTCATCGGATATACGATTTGTTTATGATTGGTGCTTTGAATAAGAAGACTAAAGCCGGAGTCTCATGCATCCGAAATCCGATGGTAGGACATCCGAAATTTGAAGTTATCCTGTGAAATAAAAAAAGCCTGTCACATACATCCGAAAGTTCGTTCCGAAATTAGACAGTTTTGGCATTTAGACCTGTCATTTCCTATCAACAGTATCAACATTATTACATGTATTATTGGAGAAACATTTACAAAAATAACTTCCTCGCCAAATATCCCGAAATTACCCCCTTCCCACTAAACTTGTTTATAAAAACTAATGTTTTCAAAAAAAGTGAGGTTAAAAAACACACGATATCGTACAAAAGTTAAACAAAATTTAACTTTATACGACGTCGGACGATTAGTTAAAAATATCGGATAAAAATTGGTGTCAAAATATTTCGACCAATAGGAGCACCGTCGGATCGTCGTGTCATCGGATTTCGGATGCATGAGACTCCGGCTTAAGGAAGGAGCCTATCAAAAATCTTAGATCCACCGCGATGGAACTCAAATATGGCCGACTTAAATTCCGGTTTATCAGTGCCGTTCTAATTTTATTTAAAAAATGTAAAGCTATGATGTAGGGTAGACGTGGGGTAGACTCAATAATTTTTTTTATTTTACGTTGTGAATAAATGTTGGTAGTTACTAAAATTGTTATAAAAACATATTATTATAATAAAAATAGATAAGTTTTAATAATTATTTATTAACACAAACATCCAATACGCGACTGAAGCAGGTAAGTCAAATTGACGTATCTAAATTCTTTGACATCTTTTTAATCCAAAAGCAAAAATGCAAGAAAAAATATATAATTAGTTAATTTAAGTGAATTTCATAAATGATCGGTTTACTACACGTATGTATATTATATAGTCACTTACTAGCAAAAAGTTGTTCCATTATTTCACTCGATTTTTGCCGAGATCTACCGCACGCTACACAACCAACTATTTTAGAGTCTTTTTCGATAAATCGCGATAGTGTCACTGTTAATTTAAGTTCTGCCACAATTTCCATCTAGATTTACTACCTTTATACAACTATCAGTAGTAGAATAAATAATAAATAACATAAAATAAGCTCCGTAAAGACTGACAAATCCACAAAATTTCAAATCAAATTCAAATGTGTCAAATGAATCGTCAAACAGAACTGTCAAGGATCCCCACCCTAGAGTCCTTTTTCCGCCCACCATGCATGAATAGATGGATAGCATTATGCTCCTTCCTTAGTCTTCTTATTCAAAGGATTGCCAGTACATGTCATAGGATCTTCTATAGTAGTATCATTTACTTGTCCTGTAAATTCAATTTTAGGACTTATTTTGCTTGTTGACTCACTTTTTGGTTTTTGAATACATTCAACTTTGGAAATTTGTTCGCTCGGTAACTTGTGATTTTTATCTTGTATAGTTTCAATCTTAGAAAGTTTCCTCCTTATATACTTACTCATCATCATGTCCAACATATGTCTGAATAAAATTTACATTTACATCTCCTAAAGTAGTATATTTGTCATATGTATGTATAATGCAAAAAAAGGAATCAAGTAGTTACCATTCTCTATGATTTTCACATAAATTCTCGATGGACATGTTCCACTAATTTTTATAGTACCTCCTTTCTTCATCTTTCGTTTCTTACAATTACTAACAAATTCTAAAAATTGTTATTTAATGAAAAAATTATTTAAACAACTTGACTGCTAATGTTTACTAACCTCTTGGATTACTTCGATTACAATTAAATATAATAACCCTTCCATTTTGCGTTTTATAGTTTGTCTAGTTCGCATAACCTAGTTTTACGTTCTCCAGTTTTGTCCACACTGTAAATTCTTCGTAATTTCTAAATCTTAAATTAGTCTGTCTAATGTCTGTAGAATGGTTGTCGCTTAAGTGGGTTATCAGATTTCTGTGATAAGAAAATATAGAAGAGCAAAGTGGGCAAATTATTCTTTTTGTCTTTGTAAGAGCCAAATCTAGATGAAATTTTCTTATGTGTTTGTTTTTGCTAGAGGTAGTTGAGAATTCTTTTTGGCAGAATAAGCAGATTAAACCATTATTTCTACAAATATTAAAAAGCAGTTTAAAAAATGTGGTAAAACGAATTCCAAATTAATATTAATATAATTGCAAATATTAAGTTTACTTACGTTTTTGTATCCATAACACTACACATTATAGGTACATATATCTCTATTGTAAGATTGTAAGTATAAATAAAGAGTGGAAATAGGGGGTAAGTGCCAAATTTTTATTATTGGGAAAACTTGAAATCGTCAGATTTTCGCCAAAATTGGTATACACACTATTTTCAGGTCGTAGATTACGAATATGAACTTTTTTTCTGGCGGTCTCTTGCACCGTTTTTCAGAAAAACGAAAAATTATTTCAACATCGAATTTTTCATAATTTCTCATATTTTTAAGGTTTTCTAGCACATATTTTGTTAGGTATTCAATAAACAATCATGTTTTTACTATTTTCTGTTACTTCTTTAACCAATTCTATGCATAATAGAGGAAAATTTGCTAAAATAAATTTGTAAACAATCTGAAAATGTTGGGTGTTAGGTTGTGTTTTGTTTTTGGCATTTAAAGCAACGTTGTCAATGCTAAACCTAAATTTAGCGTGTTTTTATCGCTCATTCTGGGATTACGAAAGGCGGTCGCCAGAAGAACGGCTCTTTCCCATAAATGCTATTTTACTAACGAGATCTAACTATTTATAAGCACGGAGTTGCATGAAAGAGTTTTAATTGCATTGGTTACAACTTCCATGCGGAAGGTGTTAATCTTCTGTTGTTATATTATATCAAAAAATTTATACCAAATTATTTATTATACCAAACCAAACCAAACCAAACTCTTTCGTGCAACTTCGTGGTTATAAATAGTCTTTATATAACTTCTTTGCGGAGGGGGTTAATCTTTTGTTAATATAATATAAAAAAAAGATTAACCCCCTCCGCATAGAAGTTGAAACCAATGCAATCAAAACTCTTCCGCGTAACTTTGTGGATATTTATATTGTCAGATCTCATAATGGGTAATTTATTTAAAATCCCTAATCAGCCGAAAAAATAGAAGATATGGCAACGTTGTAAATTTTCAAATTTCTAGATTAGGTCAATTAGGTCTAGAATATATTTGTCTCTCTCATTACATAGGAGAGAGAAAGAAGGATAAATGAAATGTCCAACTTCCATCTGGTCTCAATTTTCTTTGTTATTTCGTTAAGAAAAGTGTTTTTCAGTAAAATTTTGGACATTTTTCTATCCTCAATCAAGTGTGGCTTTTATGGTGGGTTCATACAGCCAAATAAAATAACAAATAAAATAAGAAGTCTTTATCTTTTAACTTCTTAGGACCGAAATAAAGAAAAATTCAATATTGAAATTATTTTCAGTTTTTCTGAAAAACGGTAAGAGACCGCCAGATTCGTAATCTACGACCTCAAAATAGGGTGTATACAATAATTTTGGTGAAAATCGGACGATTTCCAGTTTCCCCAATAATTACCAATTTTTTAGTAGGTAGTATTAAGATTACGTTATTACATAGAAGCGTTAATAAATACTATGACTTCTGCATGTCCTAAACAAAAGTTACAAGTGCTAAGGGGAAAGTGTCTATTGTTAATGAATATTATACTGTATTTTTAAAGATATTTTAAAAGATATTTTAAAAATGTATTAGTTTCAGTTTACTGTGTTTTTCTCATTTATCTCGAAAAAATAACCGAGGCGAATGAGGTGCGCCACCCTGTATAAGATTGTTTGAATAACTACCCGTAAACAAAGTCTATTTAAACGAACATTTTCATTAAAATTAAGCTTATAGAGTCTAGCGATTGTATTTTGATTTTTTTTAAATTTCTTAGCATTAATACTGACATTTTAAATGTTCTGCAGAATCCCCATATGTTTATGTAAAGATCTTGTTATATTTACGAAATCAGTGAACCCTTCTTTATTCCAAATGCCATGTTTATTAGAAAATAGTAAACACGACCAGCAAAGTAATTTTTGTAAAACAATGCTACTGCATAGCCAATTAAAATCAGAAAACCAGGAAGACTTAAATTTAATATTATAAGATTTACCACTTTTTCTTATTTCTTTTTGCAATTTATGGTTAAAGATTCAGTTGGTTATCCTTGAGATGAAACATCCCTCTTATCTTCATCTATCCACCGTCTGAAGGGAGTTTCCAATAAATTGCACACCAAGTCATTAATTGGGTTCATTTTTTAACACATAGACACACACTAAAGAGTTCTAAAACCAGCACATCCTGCAGATAAAAATAACTAAAAAACTTCGTATAAATGTATGTCCTAAAATGCTTAGTTTCGGAGATACAGGGTGTAGAAATTTCATTTTTATTTCGAGAGATTTTTTCCTAATAATTTATGAAGTAACGTCAATATTTGGATGAAAATTAGTGTCTGGAGTGTGTCTGGGAGTTTTTTGACATGGGAAATTTGATTTTGATGTCAATATGACTCCTACTTGTAGAGAGCGCCACCTACATGTGTTTAAACTGTTTTGAAGTGTAATAACTTTTTGTCCCTACCTGTATAAAAGCACGGAGTGAAAAAATATACATTTTCATGACTTTTTGCATAAAAAATGTCTCTTGGTAAAAATCGCTACGAGCAGCCGTTCTCAAGATATTTGAAATGAAAATAGTCAATACATTTCATTGACAAAAATAATCACGTTGAGTAGATAGTTACTTGACTGAAATAATACATTTGGGAAATTTTATTTTTCTAAATTAATCATAAACTTTTCTGCGAAAAAATGATGATAAAACAGTTTCGTTGAACTTTTGGCACAAAAAACATTTCAAATTTATGATTTCAGTCTGATAACTATTTAGTCAACATGTTTTAATTTATGTCAATGATGATAGGTATTGACAATTTCGATTCCAAATATCTCGAGAACCGTTACTGTAGCGATTTTACCAAGAGACATTTTTTACGTAAAAACTTTGTAAATATATATTTTTACCCAGTAGTTTGGTTTGGTTGACGAAAAGTTATTACTCTTCAAACCAGATAAAAATTGTAGGTGGCGCCCCCTACAAGAAGGATCATTTTGATCAAAATCAAATTTCTCATATCAAAAAAACTGTCAGGGCACCCAACAATTTTCATCCAAATATTGACGTTACTTTATATAAATTATTTGGAAAAAATCGAAATAAAAATAAAACTTCCGCACCCTGTATCTCCGAAACTAAGTATTTTAGAACAAACATTTATACGAACTTTTTACTTATTTTTATCTGCAGAATATGCTGCTGAAGTTTCCGGAATACAATTCGGACCACCCTGTATATTTTTTTCATTAATTGCGAAAACGGAAAATCGGAGTCAAAAATTTAATTAAAAAAGATCGAATTTTTAGCTTGCAATTTTTCTCGTATCGATTCGCGGTCATTCGATCTCGATCTAGATCGATCCAAAAATCGATTCTTTTTGCAGAATGGCACATCGCACATACCCTATATAATTTTCTCTCGATATATTTATTATTTCAAATGATACAATATCGACGGCGTCACGACAAAAGGGCGTAAGCGCCATTCGTCATTTTTTTCAGGAGACGAAAAAAATCGTCTAAAATCTATATTTTTTATTTTTGTGTGAATTATTTTTTTGCTACAGTATTATAGATTATATGGCACATTTTTTCAAGAATTTTTGCTTATAAAATATTAAACTGTTAATTAGTTATTTTAATATTTGGCGCTTACGCCTTTCTTTCTAGGCTCGATTGGCGTTTACGTCTTTTTGAAAGGCGTTTAAGACTTTTGTGTCTTATTATTCTAGTCATTTTTTGTCGTTTAGGTGCACTTACGCCTTTTGAGTTTTACAAATAAAATTAAAAATGTCGCTTGGATTTTTTAATGTTTTTAAGAAAACACAGTACAAAATACTCAAACTGATGCTTTCAATATTTTCAAACTCATTAGGCTTGAAATAATAACTGGAAAATTAAATTTAACTAATATTCTGAGCAAAACACGGGTAAACTTGATCCTTATTCCTCGTTGGTGGCAAAAGGTGGTTCTTCTAACATGAATAATTCTGACTCCAACAGCGCATCATGCTGCAATGATTCTGCCAGAAGATCATTATCTATGATATCGCTCTCAACCTCAACCTTTTGATTTCCACATTTTAATGCCAAATCTCTGATTTTCTTCCCGCGGGAAGTCATTATCACACTGTGGAGAAAAAATATAAAAAAGGCTTAAGCGACATCAAAAAAACAAATTTCAAACAATTATTACAATCAAGAAAAAGTCCTTTGACTTGTAGCAAATGTTTTTTTGAAAATTAATATTGTATACAATTTAGATATTTGACAATTTTTTGAAATCTGCTGAACGGTAGCTTTGTTAAAAGTAAAAAAATATGCCATTACGATCACATAGGCGGATGGCGCTTACGCAAACCAAATAAATTAACACGAAAAGGCGTAACCGACAATAACAAATAAATGTCGGTGTTTACTATTTGAATTAGATTGAAGCACAAAAAACAATCTAGGCTACCCAATATGAATAAGACCTATCTTATTAATAAGTTTTTCTACGTACCTTTGAATGGAAAATGGTATTTTTTCATCCCAGGCGTAAGCGACCTTCCAACACGTGTGAATGGCGGTTACTGATTTTCGCGTCGAGTCTAGTTTGAAGGTGTATTGGCAGTTAGAAACTAAAACTGTCTTTTTTCTCACGTTAAGAATTTTTGCTGGTTAAGCCGTTTCATAGATAGGTGCGCATTTATTAGTATTAAATTTTGGAACCATAATCTCATTTTCGTTATTTTGGCGCTTACACCCTTTTGTCGTGACGCCGTCGATATATCGATATAATATGATATTTCCCAAATTTTGCCATCCCTAACCCCTAGCTATATCCAGAGCCATATCCCCATCATATCCCTAGTCCAAGGCCCTAGTCACTCCCATAGGCAGTGTTGCCATACCTACTGTTTTAGCAGTAGATCTACTGCTTTGCAAATTATTCTACTGTTCTTCTCTCGACTCAAAATCTACTGCTAATTAAATGATAAATAATATCATTCGAATTTACATAAAAAATCTAAAATATTTTTTAATTCTTGCATGCATATATGACCAATAGCGTTTTTTCTTGTCATTCCTACATTCAATACCTAATCAGTATTACAACGCTATGTTTCACACCATTACAAAAAAAAAACGGCGTCAGCGATGGCAGTGAAGATCGCTGCCATTTTATATGTAAAATTATATGCGAAATGTCATCGAAGTTCATTTCCAAGCCAACTGGACGCTGTTTTTTTATCATATGGTATAAGGGTAAGCGAAAAGCGATCGGCAAAACTGGAAAACTGATATGCGTTGTGTTCCTTTTGATTACAGATTATTATGCGTGATGTCTGTTGGAATAATTCGCCGAAAAATAAATTATATAATATATTAATTCACTTTAATCTCTAACAACGTTGTGGTGTGATATTGTGATTTTGTGTTGACTATACATTTATATTGAACAAACTGCTGATATGTAATAAATTCAAGGGTAAATTAATTGTTATCTGTCAAATTATTAAGAATTTGACAGGTAACAATTAATTTACTACTTAATTTACTAAACTAATTAGACTAGTTATTTTATGTTGCTTTGTTTTGGTAATATTCTGTTTAACGTTTTTGTTTTTAATGTATTTTATACTTTATATACTTAAAATTTTAATATTATAGCATATGAAAGTATACATTTTAAATATACTTCTTTTTGACATCGATCTACTTCTTTTTTTGACATCGATCTACTGCTAGCCTAAAATCTGGTCTGGCAACACTGCCTAGGTCACTCCATCCATGGTCACTCCTGTTCAGCTTTGTTCTGGCTTTGTTTATGTTTCGATTTTTGCCGGTTTTCTTGTGGAAGTTGAAGTGATAATTTGTGTTTTTTGAGCTTGATTATTTATTTGGGTTCCCTTTCATTAAATATTGTTCTACAAATGGCTCAGTGCGCTGAGTGTAAACTGAACTTTTCCAACAAATCTAACTTGAAAGTTCATGTGAAAAGAATACATCCAGGTAAATGATTTATTCAATATTGACTGTTTTTTTTATTTAAGATACCTATCTACCTACCTACAATACCTAACTCTCCTATCTAACCAATTAATTGATTATTAACCAATATTGATTGTGTGGTAAGGTGACAAAATGTAAAATACTACAAACAAGTTTACAATAGATTGGATAAATAGGTAGAATAGGTAGGCTTGAATGTTGAAGATTTCAATGCATATTGCATAGGCAAATTTATTATACCTATCGTTTATAGATAAATTAGACCAACTTTGCCCGAGAAAAAGGAAGCCTTTTGGGTCAGGTGCTGTTGAATGCAAAGAGTGTGGTAATAAATTTACCAGGCATGGTAATTTGAGGTCCCATATTAAACAGAAACATTCAGGTGAGTTTGTTTGCGATTTGTTACCCACCTTTTTTGTCTTTGAAATACCTAAGCGTACTTTACTTGAAACTTGAAAAATTCACAAAGGTTTTTATTAAGTAAATTTTTTCGTGATAATGTCCTCACCGATGTTTTTACAAAATAATGCTATGATAATAAGATTCAAAAATTTCAGATAAGTGTGAAGAATTACTGGCCCGCTCAAATACTAAAGAGTTTATATTATGCGAGGAGTGTGGCAATCAGCTCCATTCATTAGGACTTTTAAAAAAACATAAAGAATCTCATAAAATTAAGACAATAATACAAATCAAATGTCTTCTTTGCAATTATGTGGGAGGATCTAGAGATATCTTAATTGCACATTACAACAATGTACATAATTTCAAAATTGAAAATGAGACCCATGAATTTGATTCATTTGAAGCATTCCAGGTAAGCATCATAATAAATTTTTATAAAAGACTAAACTAGTCAATATGAGTCATGGATATATTCCATAAAATATGTTTACACTGACTAATACCCTTGTTTATATATTCTTAAAGTTGGTCAACCGACTAGACAAAATGTGCTGCTAACTGGAGGACAAATCGTGAACCTTTCCGGGCGGAGTCAAAAATATCGATTATTTTTGTTATTTTCCTCAGAGTAATGTAAATAGCCCGGGTATCTGCGAACTTTAATGGTGATCAGCTGATTAAGAAATTTAAACGAAACTTTTATTTTACTGTAAGTTGTGGATTATTTTTGCCTGTTATTTTAAGAAATCTAAACCGTATTAACAAAGAAATTATTATTTCGATATGTTGGTACATTATTTATAATTTATGATAATGCTAATTGTCTGTTAATTAATATTTAAAAAAAAGTTACATACCTATTTTAATTTGATTTAATGCAGGTTTATAAAAGAATCATGTCATTCTTAGATTATTTTATTCTCAATTGAGTGCTTTACGAATTTTACGAATTTTTTTTTTTGAAAACATAAAACTTTTTACATTTTTGATGCTAACTAATTGGCATGGTATTATTGTTATGGAAATTAACCAAGAAAGAAAAGAATTGGCTACAACTTGTAATTTTTCGAAAAAAACATATTATACCTATCGCTGAAAACTTAAAAAATGGCGCTTTTTATGAAGTCATGGCCAACTATGGTTTACTAAAAAAAACATATGTTTGTGTCATATGTCAAAAATGACAGACTTTAGAAAAAAAAACAGAAAACACAAACTCATTAGGTATGTGATTATCTACAACTTTTATCTGAAAACTTTTTGTCTAAAATACCGTATGATCGAATAAAAACGGCGTCAGCGATGGCTATGAAGTGACGATCAATGATATTTCCCATATAATTTTACATATAAAATGACAGCGATCTTCACTTCATAGCCATCGTTGACGCCGTTTTTATTCGATCATACTGGTGAGGCTAATGGAATTAGAGAAAGTTTTAAAATAGCCAAAATTTGTTTTTTTCGAAATATCTAATAAGCCTTGAACTTCTCCGAAAAATCCGAAAGGCGCATATTTATGACCCCACAAAACTGCAATTCTTTCCCCATTAACCGACTCTCTATCTCCAGTAGTTTCCGAGATGCCCATAGAGAACATCGTAGGAAACTCACTCTGTATAGTATTTTGAAACTAACTATTGTTATTATTTGACTAGTTTAATTTGATTAATAAGGCTAGATTAATTTAATTTCAAATAAATTTGATCAGATTTTTTTTTCGTATATTCTGCTACCAGAAAACCAAGATTATATGATAACGAACTTTTCAACGAAGTTGAAGGAAGATATAGTGTATCTATCACAATACTTAATAGAACTACTACAATTATTACAAGAAAAACAAAAAGAAGAAATACCCAAATACCTCTTCACCTACTAACTACAAAATAAACGAATATAATCTCTTAAAAACACTACACAACTACTTATTCTTGTATTCTACACTGAACAAATTAGCAAACTTACTAATTTATCAAACAAAAAGAAGAAATAGTAAAATTATCCCTTCACCTACTACTTAACTACAAAACAAACTATAAAAACACTTTTAAACTATTTTTGGTAGACTACACTAACATGCTACACTAAACACTATAATTAAACTTAATAAATTAATCTAATTTTACACTACACCTACAAAGAAAAAAGAAATATGAACATTTTCTAAAACTAGAAGAAACAGAACTTCCATACGTGCGACCAGGATAATAGGTCAAGGGGACAAAGAATATAAAATACTTTAAAATGTGCATCAGGGCCCAGTCACTCTTATGGAGCATTAAATTACAAATTGACGATTCGGCCCACTATAGATGGTGCTAATTTACGTCTTGTATATATGGTTGCAGAACAGTTCGTCGTGTATGTATGGTTGCTTCAAACGTTACGATTGGCTCGGTCTTTAAATTCATATTATAAATTTTGCGATTGATTTCCCTCTTCCATCCACACTGTACTTTAAATACTCCTTTATTTATGGTTCAAACTATATTTAAGCTGCCTATATTTTGTTTTTAATACAAAATGTATTTCTCGTGCTTTTTATGGTATTCCGACTCCAACTTTTTCATATTATATTATTCAAAGATAGCCATATTTCTTAGTGCTTCTTGAATTATACAACTGTGATGAACTGCAACGAGATGAATTTTCAAAGTATAAGCAGCCTGTAGGATAAATTTTACATAATATACATTGTAGCAGGCTGAATTCATAATTTATTACCACAAAGATATCATTCTCATAAAGGTATCTGGTGGTGTAGGGGATATGGCTCTCGTCTGGTAACACGAAGGTAGCCGGTTCGAGTCGTGCCGCCGACACAATTTTTTTATTTAATAAATAAATTATTTTGACCTTGAAGCCCTGAGCCGCACTCGGCCCGCTATAGATGGCAGCAAAAATTTTGTTCGCTTTTTTATTACATTGACTGATCGTTCTGTAGTTATTCTGTGATGTGCATTCAGAAAGAAAAAATACCTCGAAAATGATCCAAACAAACATTTTTATTTCTTATCAGTGAGAAGCATCGGCCTTGTCGGCCTTGAAGAATTTGTCGGGTATTTACAATGGTCGAATTGTATAATTGCCAGCTTTTATAGCATATCTAATAGACAAAAAGTATCTGGTCGATTAGTAACCAATTGGCACAGTCCGAAAATTATCGATTTTTATTTTCTCTGTTTTTATTGGTAGCTTCAAAATTCAGAGTGATAAAAAAAATATTTCTGTAGGGAAACCGGTCCTCCCATCTAGTAGTCTTAGTCCATAAACGTCTTAGGTTGATCTACTTTAAAAATATATATATATATATATATATATATATATATATATATATATATATATATATATATATATATATATATCTCACAAAGGCTAATACTTACCATATTATAAGGTTGTTCTTAAGAAAGATAAGTTACTATTCATTTTTTCATTGAAAAATGATTTTAATTGCAGTAAGGTGATGCCTAGGTGATGTTTATTTCTCATGTTAGGTAGTTTATTATTATAAAGTCATATTTTACTTGTTATTTTTTACTTTTATTTTCAGTCTTGGAAATCAAAAATGGAAAGTGAAACTTTCTCAAGTTTTATACATAAAAGAACCAACAGGAAAAACCAAGCTGCTGTAAAGATAGAATATTATTGTCACCGATCAGGATATTTTAAAGCCAGAGGAGCAAATATTCGTCATCTAAAAACGCAGGGATCCAATAAGATTAATGGATATTGTCCGGCTAACGTTAAAGTGGTACTAAAAAACGGAAGATATTTTGCTAATTACTGCAAAACACATGTGGGTCACAAGCTGGAAGAAGATGTAAGCCATATCTTTTTAATGAAAACAGAGCGTGACCAGATTGCTACAATAATAATTGGTTCAAACGTACCCTTGCAAATAACTTTGAATGAAATTCACTTCAAAGACGTCTCTATAGAACAAAAAAGGTAAGACAGAAGAAATTGAACCTGAAGAAACCTTCAACCGAAGAAACTGATCTTTTGGCAGTAAAATAAAACCATTTTGACAATTGGCCATTTTTTTCACCAATTATAATTTTTATAGTATTGTAGCAATAATTAATTTGTTTAAGTAGTTGATAAGGATATAAATTTGAAACTGTAAACTTTCTACTCCTTGTCCCTTGCGTTGAACATCATTCTTAATAAATTTCTGTTTTATTATCATTGTATTTTTGTTTTGGTTCTTTCCGATAGGTACCTAGCTGTTATAAAACTATTTTGAATACATAGAGAACATAAAGGAGTTCTGGTTTAGAGATCATCCCGTGTCCAGTTTTTTTTGTCTCCGTTATTTTATGCACAAATCGAAAAAGTTCATAGGACATCTTTTTTCTAGAAACGTACAGTACGTCTGTCCGTTCTGTAGCTACGGGGTATCCGTGAGAGGGGAAACGATATTCTCTCGATGTTTTTCGTAAAAAAATAGACGACGCGTCCCATCAATAAAAATTCAACAAATTTGCAAGTAGCCAATAAAATCAGTGGGCGGAGCGATTTGCGGTGACGCACTCGTCAAATCGACGTATAAAATATATTGCTGTTTATTTAAATGTTTTTTGTCCGCATTCCTTTCATAGACACAGATCCAGCAGATGTACTGTACACATCCTTATTAATTTGGTGCACGAATATTTCCAAAATTCAGATCGGTGACGGAAAATTTTAAGAAAACACCATTTTAAATAGAGAAACTTGAAGCACAAATATATTTTATTTATGCACTAATCCGGAAACTTCAAGACATTTTTCGGTCAGTTTGGTCTTTGTAAAATAAGTTTTCCTGAAAAAAGATGTCCTATGATTTTTTTTTGAATTGGTGCATAAATATGTATACTAGAGATTTAAAAAATTGGTCTGCTAGAATCACCACGCATAAATTCTCAAAGAATAATGATAATTTCAATCACGACATGTAAATACTTATAAGTTTCTATATGCAAATAGATACAATCAACAGCAATCAACGTACAGAATGGAGGCTGCAAGTCAAAATTCTATATTTTTAAATATTTGACTCTGTATCTAAACAATGGTACCTACCTCAAAACATATAAAAATTCATTTTATATAAATACATAAAATATAAATATATAAATACAGTATATTATTATGTTTTAAAACTCAAATGAAAAATACGATCACATAGGTAGTTTGCCAACGACATAAACATCTCCAGAAAAACCAACAATTATGAAAAACCATTCGTAATATGGATTATTTAATTAAAAGCATGAAAATTGTCTTATTCATTAAAAAAGTACCGTATGATCGAGAAAAAACGGCGTCAGTGATGGCTATGGAATGAAGATCGCTGTCATTTTATATGGGAAATGTCATCGATGTTCATTTCCCAGCCAACCGTTATAACGGCGTCCACCGTTTTTTTTTCGATCCCAAAATGTTTTTTAAAGTAGCCCAATTTGCGATAAGTCGCCCAATCTGGCAACCCTGCTTCGATCATACGGTATAATGTTATATCGATTCAAAAACAAAACCTTTACAAAACAAGATCCCACTGGTGATCCCACCACAGGATCCCACTATAAAACGCGAAACCCCAAACGTCATCAAAGCATCATTGCTGCATGTGCGCTAGGGATGCACGATTCGAATCGATTTTAATCGAAGATCGATCTTTTTGCCCAAAATATCGATTAAAATCGATCGATTTTTATCAAACGATCTTTTGGTAGAATCGATCTTTTTTCAAAATCGAAGATCGATTTTATTTATACATTTTTACAGGTTTATTTATTTGTTAGAACAAAAAAAAACGCTTTAGTTTTGCTTGAATATTTGTTTACAGTGCATCTCTAATAAAACGCCAGCAACCAAACCTAGCAATGAATTGAAAAATTAAGTGTAAGTGCTCGCTACCGCATGCGCCGATGTCTGTTTATCACTTTGATATTAGGTGTCAGATTTTTGTCGGTGATTCCCATACTTTAATATTTTAGACAACAGAATATTTTTTGATTTTAGCTTCTTTCCAACCAACTGATATATCAAAATTACAGAATTTACCGGTACATATTCTGTGTCAAAATCATCATAAGCATGCAAAAAAGCCGAATAATTCTATTTTAACGTTGTCATAGTATTTTTAATTTTTACAAGTATGTCTCGGTTTGTGGGTGTTTCTGACTCAGTTTGGGATGACTCTTTTTCGGTTTTACGATTTTTATGTATCTAAATCTATATTTTTTTTATGATAATATCGTATTTTTACTATACCAGTACTCCAATACATTCAGAATCGAATATCGATATTTAATAAGATCGATCTTTTTATGTCTGATCTTGAATCGATTTTCTTATTTTTGGGACATCCCTAATGTGCGCACAAGTCTGTAATCCATAAGGACAGAAATTATTATGGCGCGCGTATCATCTCGTACAAAGGGAATTTTACAAAAAATTACGTTTCATTTGGTAAAATGCCCTGGTGAATCCAGGACAGAAAAAAATTCGTTATAGACTCATTTGAGTTGATCCCCGCCACGGAAATCTTTAGTAAAAGGCGAAAGATTTATTCGCTCTGACGGGAATCCAGAGTACCGGCCGTTTCCGACAATTTGCGTCTTCAACAGCGGATTTGTTACTTGGTTGGTAGCGTTTTAAGTGTGGCGCCATCTACTCAAGTAAAGCGCTACTATTATAATTTTGGGCCTGAATTTATATTGGAAGGATATTGGTTTACAATTGGTTATTCTACAGACTTACTTAAAAATTAGTTTATATACTACTTATAATTTGAACTGAGCTTTGAATCATAAAAAAATAAATTTAAAGCTTTATATATTATACCATTGATACCATACGATAAAAAAAACGGCGTCAAAGCTGCAGGAAATAGACTGTTGTCATTTTATTTGTAAAATTATATGGGTTTTGGTTATATGCAAATTTGTTTATCTGTAAACTGTAAATCTAACTGCTGACAAGTAGTTTCCGTTGGATTAACGCAGCAGTGTTTACAAAAAATACCTAACTATTTTATTTTGTAGACTTTCTTGCAGTGGCGAAATACCGGATTAATATTAAAAATTATATTATAATAATATAAATTACAATAAATATAGGATTTTTATGGATACATTAATTGTTTAGCGTTGGTTAGTCTCTGGGGTAAGTGTTTCTTCAAATAAATAAAAGTGGTTCTTGATTGTATAACTGGTTGCCAATTCAAAAAAGTCCTTTTAATGATCCCAATTTAAATTTCCCGTATATTTTAGTTTGTACAATGTAAAATAATAAAAATGTAAATCTATACGGGGAATGTCATCGATGTTCGTTTTCACAAGCCATCATTATGTCTTAACCGTTCCTAATAACTATACATTATGTCTTCTAAACCGTTCATCATAAAATCAGGTAAAATAAGGGCTCGAACACACTGATGACGACCAGGTCGCACCGGCCAGGCCGCAGCTACCTCTAAAACCTTAGTCTAAAACCATTAAATCAAATGATATAGCGCACACTAACGTCCTGGCCGTCCGTTGGTCGTTGCGACCAGAAAACTGCACGGAAATATTATTATTTTCTGCCGCTTGTTGCCGGTTTTCTTCGAAATTAATAATTTTTCAGATGAAATCCCTCAAATTCGAGGCACAATATTTTTATTTTCTATAAGATATAGTGTTTTAGTGTAGTTTTTGCACACGTGCAGAAAATCCAAAGAAATAGTATACAGACTGGATCAAAGGTAAACTTAAATCTAATCCCTTTTTTTTATCAAGGGTCGATTCTAGTAAAAACTCAAAACATTTTTATATGACATACCTACCTACTCTATATTTATGGTTGGTATGATACTTGTTATTATACCTCTGAGTTTCGATGTTTTTCTACAACCACTTGTTTTTATTAAATTAGTTTTTTTAGTTGTATTATATGTACAAGGAGGACAACTGTATTTTAAATATTATATTTAATTTAACGTTTTTCAAACAGGGTTCATTAGACTATATTTCTACTAGGTACATTATTTTGAAAAAAAAATTAAGAAAGTAACTTAAACATTCATAAAAATAGAAGTAATTACTGTTGTAGATTCTTCGTTATATTGTAAACATTGAAATAACTGGAAGCTAAACTTTCTACCTGCTTATATTTAGAGGCAGTGTCTGACGATCTTTTTTTACGATGGCCCTAATATGTTTACTTCTAAAGTCGATAAGGGCGCCATATCAGTAGAAAAAAAGAAACAGAATACCTATTTCCCTTTTTGTCGGTCGCGCGTACACAAAGCTTTTTGTTTGTTGTGAATAGCAGCTTCGCTTTTTAGTTAACTGGGATATTTTAACATTTCTGAAACAATATTTTCTAATTGGTAAAACGTAAAAAATCGTTAGATTTGACAACTCTGTTGAAACTGGTCGTTCATCTGGCCGCAGCTAAAAACGCAATACATCCGGCCAGCCGACGGAGAAGGCCAGGCTGGCCAGGTCGTTGCAGAGAAATAGAAGGGAAGGCACAGAAAAGGTATTTTTTGATTTATCAACAATCATTGTCAAGTTGACAATATACAGGGTGTTTTCTAATTAGTCTAAAAAATTGTGGTGTGATTCCTCATGTGTTCTTAAAACAATTTTTATATAACCATTGGGCCTAAAGTACTTCCTTTCTGATCTACAGGGTGTTAAAAATTAAAAAAAATCGATATTTTGCTTAACATAAATGGTACACTACTGCTTTTTTAAAGAAAATATATTTTTTTCTTGACTGGCCATCCTTTTTCAACAAAATTGATCTTTTGAGTTTCTCTTGTTCATCAAACGGTTGCCGAGAAAAAAATAAATATACTTATTAAGAGCCCGCCTTAAGCCGTTTTCTAACGATTTTTTATCTTTTAGATTAATTAGGAAACACCCTGTATATGCATATCACAGGCAACCAAATAAACTAGTAACCTCTGAAAATTATTTTTCCTACCACTAGCGACATACCGTGTTTTTAGTGAATACTAAATTATTTTATTAAAATTTCACCATATAAGTTTCCAGGCAAAGATACAAGTTACAGCCTTCGGTAATAACACTACAATTACAGTACATTTAAACATTAATTTTGATTTAATAACACCGGGACAGCGCGTACGCAGTCCCGACTACCAAAAATTACGCGCCCGAGTTATCCGCATTAGGGATAATCGCAGGAGTCAGCCCAGCCGTAGTGCAATGGGAGGGCCTCATCCTGGAGGAACCGCCTTATTGATCACGGTAACCTCTACGCCAGGTAAGTATGCTTTCGTTGGCGGAGCTTTCGAGGGTCAACCGTTGCGATAATACTTGTACGGCAAGTTCTACACAGTGGCTCCATCTGTACGGCAACGATCAAACTGACTTGCCATATATTCGAAGTGTAAACTTGTTTAAAAATTTACAATTAATATTATACAGGGCGACGCACCTCATTCGCCTCGGTTGATTATACGAAAATGGAAAGATGTAGAAAAAAAATATTTTATGGGTATATGTGAAAAGGCAATGTGCATAATTTCAAATTATTTTGAAATGTACAAGGTATGTCAGAACTAAGATCCATACCAAAGTTATATTTTTTCTTATGGAACACCGGGTATTTTATTTCACATTTAGATTCGTCGATACAAAATAAGGCATTTATTATAAGGGTCAAATATGTTTACCAGCTTTGGTTTTTCAGATATTTAAAGATATTTAAATATGCATGCTATAAGTAATAAAAAATATTGTAAACAGTCAACACCCTGTACATTGCTTTTCAGAATTATTAATTCTTGTGCTGACTTTTAAGCCAAAGAAATAAACTTTACTGAAAAATTTGATTGCTTCGGTTAATGCATACAGGGGTTTCAAAAATTGCTGGTCTATTTTAAATATTTATTTTACATAGAAATTTTGTTATTTTAAATACAACACCCTGTATTTTTTAAAATGAATCGGAGCATATTCAAATGCTTTTTCAGACTATATTAGGGTTTTCTATACCTATCTAGCTCAGATTTTGAATAAATAGCAATTTTTCAATAAAATGGCAATCAAGAGGGCTATTGTCGTCATGGCAAGTTTCTAGTGACAGTTAGTAGCTATTTTCAAAATCGAAATTAGTTTATGGACTTTATTTAAAACTATACCAGTTTACTTTTATTTAATTTACCTATAATAGTTTAATAAATAAGATTTATTAAATATGTATTTATTACTCTATCAAGAAAAACGAAGTAGTTTTATTGTGATGTGATTGTTTTACGATGTTTACTGTGATTTACTGTGATTGCTTTACGTGTTTACTGTGATTTTACGATGACTTGAGATATGTTTTTTCTATAAAAGACCCAATTACGGCAAATTTATTTTCTTCACTTCCAAACGACAGGTTTCTGCCTAATAGGTTTTTTTATAAACCATGCACACTACCAGTTCTGAGAGATAGAACAAGTAGTTCTTCAAAGGAACGCTTATCAGAAAGATTCCTATTTGGATATCTTTGAGCATTTGAGCATAAGCCCTTGAGGCCAAAAAGCAATTTTCCTCACAAAATAAAATCACTAGTAACATATATCCATTCGTTCCACTAGTAGATACTTCTTTATTTTTCTTGATAAAATAATGAATAGGCGAATTAAACTATTAATTATAGGTAAATTTAAATAATCTGTTATAAATCTAAACAATAATGTCCATAAACTAGGTAATATCGATTTTGAAAATAGTTACTAAATGTCACTAGAAAATTGCCATGGCGACACCAGCCATCTTGATAACGATTTTTTTGAAAAATCGCTTTTTATTCAAAATCTGAGCTAGATAGGTATAGGAAACCCTAATATAGTTTGAAAGGGCATTTGAATCTACTTCAATTTATTTAAAAAAATACAGGGTGCTGTATTTGATATAACGAAATTTTTATGTAAAATAAATATTTAAAATACACCAGCAATTTTCGAAACCTCTGTATAAATTTAAGGAAGCAATAACATTTTTCAGTAAAGTTGATTTCCCCACCTTTAAATTCAGCACAAGAATTAATTCTGAAAAGTAATTAATGTACAGGGTGTTAATAATCTATTTTTTGCAGCTTGTATCATTATTTTTTTTATAATATATGTCTTTTTTTGGGCCCACAAAAAATTCAAAGATCCATAAGAAAAAATATAACTTTGGTACAATATAACTTACAAATATAACTTACATATACCCATAAAATATTTTGTTGCGTTTTTTGTTACATATCTTTTCGTTTTCGTATAATCAACCGAGGCGAATGAGGTGCTCCACCCTGTATTATAATAATATTTTTTGTACATATTTCTTTTTTAATAAAAAAAAAAATGTTGTTCATTAATTTCTCTTGTTTGCAGTTAAGACAAGAGAATACGGAATATGACAGTACGATAAAATATCTTAAAAACAATACTGAAAAATTACAGAAAGATCTAGATGCATCACGTCAAAAAGAAATGGTATATTTCGAACAACGCTAAATAAAATTCCATGCTTAACCTTAGTAATTACTTTCAGAAAGCCAAAGATATGGTAAATCAATTGACAATTCGTCAGAAAACGGATGAGAAATTGATTGCAGATAAACTGGGAATCATAAATGTGATAAATATGGAAAAAGAACACCTACTAGAACTAAACATGAAAATAACAAGCGAGAATGAAAAGTTATCAAAAGATATCGCGCACTTAAACTCATTATTAGATAAAATAGTTAATGGTAAGAACAAATAATAATATTCCTTAGAAAAATATAACATTAATAAAAATTTAATTAACAAGAGAACACAAGAAAATCCTAATATCTCTACAGGGTGCTACAAATTCCAGGTACGAGCATTGGTATCTCAGAAACCGTAATAGATACGAAGATGGTTAAATTGGGGCAAAGTTGCTCCTTTGGGATGTTCACCAAGATGCGCCATCAAAAAAGTTTTAAACATTTCAAGGATTGCTGGTTTTTTTGGAAAAAGCGGTTTTTTTGAAAATTAATTTTATTTTTTCCTGTCGTTACTTTTAAGAAAATCAAAAAACTAATTGCACATTCTCGTAGCCACTTTATAAGGGCTATCTTATAATATTTCTAGATTTTCAAATTAGCTGATAATTTGTGAAATATTATATAATTATATAATTCGGAAGTATAAGAAGAAAGTTCAAAGAGCTATAAATAAAATTGAACGAAAAATAAATTTGTGCAATAGGGAGGGTGGTAACACTTTCGAATATATACTCGTAGAGCATTAGAAACTACTTTGTAGAAGTTGATTTATTTATAATAACTACGATTAATATTAGCATATTATTAGATCGCACACTGAGATTTCAAATTCACAATAAAAAAAGTTAAAAATACTATCTTTAAATTGCTGACCTGGATATAATTTATTTGAATCTTCCAATTGGCTCGATTTTCCTTATTCAATGTTAATTAGCCCTGATCAATATTGTTGCGATGAATATAATCAGATTAAATAATTTAAAAAACCAGAATCGGACTTAAAATTATTTTAAATCATAATTAAATAGTTTTGTTGTCGTTAAGGCAGAGCCGGCGGAAGGGCAGGGCGACCCGGGTTGCCGCCCGGGGCGCCGCAAACGAGGGGCGCCACGACAGCAACTAAAATATTTAAAAACAGTAATCTAAACAAATAGTAACGAATATCCAGTTCAATAATTAATTGGTACTGTCAATTTCCACATTAACATATTAGATATTACCACACCACATAGGGAAGAATATCTGAATAAACATTATAAACACTATATACTATATCCTAGATGTATCCAATTATAGTTTACTGAAATTATGCTCAACAAAATCCTTAGCACGAAAGCTTTGGGATAGTTTTGATTTCTTCTATTCTATATGTTTGTTGAGTGCTCTATCCGAAACTGAGATTTGCGAATTCATTTTCGTGGAAGAATTTTAAACAAAATTAAATAAAAAATATAAATCGGATTTGTTCGTGGCATTTCTATAACTCGAAAGCTAACAACTTTTTGTAAATAATCCTTCTTTCTATAATTCTCGTTTTTATAAATTTCTAAACAAACTGTTTTGGGTCAGGAGCCAGCAAAATTAACAGTTTTATACTGACCGCTCAAAATTGCACTTTTTCTACTATCCACACCCTTTATTTGTTATTAATGGCTGATATGCCCTAAAGTTATATGCGGCAAATATTCATTCGCAAGAAGCTGAAGAGGATCCCGATATCCTTATTATCAAGAAAAACTTATAAGTTTGCCTCATTAATTAAATTAATTTATTAACAGTAGTGGGAAAGATATCAATCTTTTGGTGGTTTTGATTGTTCCGGATTGAATATGTAGTAATACACTGAAAATGGTAGCAAAATCGTAAAATTTTCTCATTAGAGGAATCACACAAAGAAAAATTTCTCACAAAAAAATGCATCTCAAACATTGGTTGATCCTCATTTTGCAGCCGACAAAACTGTCTGATCATAATACTGATTCTGCACTAAATATGTAATTGTTTGTGAAAAAGAAAGGAAAATTTTCTTAAATTCTTAATAATAAAATATAATAAAAAATAATGCAACTGCTTGCAATTAAATACTGTTATGTTATCACTTATACCAGAACGAGACTAACAACCTCACCTAACCTACCGAGTGCGTCTCAGAAGTTTCTCCCCCTATAATATGTTTATTTTTAACACAGCCCTGGCACAATAGGTTAAAATTTAAAATACGATTTTTTAAGCAAAAATGTCATAAGTTGACATATGATATGCCATTGTACTCAGAATGTCATTTTCTTTTGGAATAAAGTAGAAATATACCGAGGGTGCTTTTAAAAACAAAAATTCGTCATTTTCGGTCAAATAGGAAGTGACTAAAAACCATTGAATACGTCAATCAAACCTAATATATGTCATATACTAACATACCAAAACTCGTTTTTTTATCTAAAAAATAAAAAATTTATAGGCGTGAGTCACTTTCCAGATCTGTGTAGAAAAAACAACAATCGCAGACTAAGATTGAACGAAGAGAAGAATTTTGAAGTATCTTTAAGCGAAAATTTATTGTTAAAGTAGCATAAATATGCTTAGTTTGTAGTTAAAATATAGGACTGAAGGAAAAAGAGAGTTATAATATCTGTTAAGGAGGGGGGGGGGCGCCAGGTAGGGTACTCGCCCGCTGTCAATATTTTCCTTCCGCCGGCCCTGATACCCAAAACAAAAAAAAAAGTATAAAGTGTGGCATACCATTGTACTCAGGGGACCGAGTTCTTTTAAAACCGGAAATAAAAAATGCAGGTCCGTAAGTTGCTATGAGAATGTGCAATTAGTTTTTTGATTTTCTTAAAAATAACGACAGGAAAAATAAAATTAATTTTCTAAACAATCCGTTTTTTCCAAAAAACTCAGCAATCCTTCAAATATTTAAAACTTTTTTGATAGCATCTTGGTGAACATCCCAAAGCGCAACTTTGCCCCTATTTAACCATGTCCGTATCTATTAGGGTTACCGAGATACCAATGCTCGTACCCCTAATTTATAGCACCCTGTATATTCAACTATTCCAGATTTTCAAAATAGCATCAAAGCATCTGAACAAAAGGAACATATGTTTAAGAGCGAACAAACTGAATCAAGAAACTTGATACAACAATATATAAGAGAAACAGAAGAACTTAAAAATGTAAGTTTAAAAACCAAGACGTTTTTTTTTATTTTTTAATAAACTTTGACGTTTACAGATGATAGAAAAGAGGGATAAAGAAATTTTCGAACTAAATAAGTGCACAGAAAACGAAATAAGTTTTGAGAAAAAGTATTCAAAACTGAAGCAAGAGATGGAAAGGTACAAACAATAATTCATAGTTAGAAAGAGAAAGGTATTGATTTATTAATAAGCAAAATGTTTTAAGTAAACTCTCGAGCGTAGAAGACCATAACAAATCATTACAATTTGAACTGCACGAATTACAAGACGAATATGACGTTAAAAATGGTTTCTGCAAAAGGTTACAGAACGAAATAGAGATTTTAAAAACTCAATTGGAAATTATCATGAATCAAAAGGATGAAGAGTACGAGTTTTATAAAAAACGCCTTGCTGAAAATGCCAGGTAAGGCAAATGTACCAGTGCTCGTCACATTAAGAGAAGTTCATAATATTATGTATAGTGATACATCCAAATGATATATGGTATATAGCATTTAGTAATAATTTCATTTGTAAGTCGATATATCGTATTCATTATTCTGGCTCGTATTTTTGAGTTTCTGTAACCCCAATTATCGCTATACTCGTAAATCTTTTTTTCTTTTAAGTACCGGGTGGCCAATTAAGAATGGACGCCGGCTGTATCTCAGAAACTACTTATAACTTTGAGAAAAAAATTCTAATTAGTAAATCGACCCAGAGAAATCGCTGGAAATTATTTTCAAGTTCGAAAAATGTCCGCTAGGTGGCGTTTCGATAGCCAATCAGATAACAGGGTTTTTCTCAAAAGTATGCAAGTGAACAGGTATTTTAAATATTACTACTGTAATCATCGAGAAATTTGTAATTTTTTTGATATAAAGTGTTTTGCTCTATCCCATAAAATAAAGTGGTGGGGAAAGGTTAAACTTGCTTTTATGAAAATAAGGATAACTCTGGTTTAGGTTAACCGATTTAAACAAACTAGGGCTCGTTTAAAAGAGCTTTTCTTCCTTAATGATCTCCAGTGTAGATTTTGTTTCCATCATTTTTTTCGTGGCTGTTAGAGGGCGCTGTTTGACATCATAACAGATATTGCGCTTTTGCATAAAAAAATTAAATAGGAGGCTATATTTCTCTTTACATAGTTAAATAGAGCATAAAATTTCCAAAATATCAGCGCAAACCGCAATTTTCTATCTTGTCTCTAACCGGAGATATTAAGAGAACAAATCATGTTAGGCGGACGTTTTTCGAACTTGAAATTAATTTCCAGCGATTTCTCTTGGTCGATTTACTTATTAGATTTTTTTCCCAAAATTATACGATAAGTAGTTTCTGAGATACAGCCGGTGTCCATTCTTAGTTGGCCACCCGGTACACAATGCCTATTCGTCATCCCTTACATGCAATTGTCCCAGTTATCGTCATTATCGTGTCTGAGGTCTGAGTAATCGTCATATTTAAGTGAAATATCGTATTTATAGTAAACATAAAATTAATATATACAGGGTGAGTTTTCTACGATGTTCTCTATGGGTATCTCGGAAACTACTGGAGATAGAGAGTCGGTTAAATGGGGAAACAATTGCAGTTTTGTGGGGTCATAAATATGCGCCTTTCAGATTTTTGAAAAAGTTCATGGCTTACTAGATATTTAAAAAAAACAAATTTCGGCTATTTTAAAAAAGGTCCCAATTCCATTATAATCTATTTTAGACAAAAACTTTTCAGATAAAAGTTGTAGATAATCAGATCCCTAATGAGTTTGTGTTCTCCGATTTTTTCTAAAGCCTGCCATTTTTGACATATGACACAAACATATATTTTTTTAAATGGAAACCATAGTTGGTCATGACTTCATAAAAAGCCCCATTTTTTAGCGATAACATATTTTTTTTTCGGAAAAATAAGTACTGAGTTATAGCCAATTCTTATCTTTCTTGACTAATTTCACTTAGTTGGCATGGTGTTCTTATTTTGTTATGATTTATAATTTATAAAAAGACAAAATATATTATTAAATGGCTCTTTACAATTTACATTACACAAATTAAAACTTAAAAAAATAATGTCACTACATACACTTTAAGTTATTTTAGAAAATGTTCACAAAGTCCGCCATTGTTTTGAGTACATAAATGCATCTTTTTAAAACTGAATTTCCAGCTATTCTCAGACAACGACTGGTCGACTTAATTAAACTTCTCCTGTACCGCCTCTTCGAGTGCTTCTCTTAATTCATATGTTCTTTTGTAAACCTTGTTGGTTAACCATACCTCATAAAAAATCTAAAATTGATAGGTCAGGTGATCGAAGAGGCCCATGCAATTGATTTACCTCTTTCTATCCCTGAGTCAACATACTTATGATATAAATAATTTTTAACATTTCTTTCATTGTGGGGGTGGTGGCGTGTCAAAATAAAAGTAGTATTGGGACCACTCTATTAATAAGCGAGTATCTAAAATTTAAATTTTCTAACATATCTTGAAAACCATTCTCTAAAAACGTAAGTAACGTTCACCGATCAACTTATCCTCGAAACTGTATTAGCCAAGAAAAGTTAAACCAATAATCCTACACGCTTTTCTTCATTTGAAAAATGCATATTTACAATTTTTGTTTATTTTAATTTGGATCGATTATTTCCAAATATTTTAATTTGTCACATCCAATAAAGTTTGGATTTCCGAGAGCAACGACGATTGAACTTGTTTCCATGGCTAACTAAGTGAAATTAGTCAAGAAATATAAGAATTGGCTGTAACTCAGTAATTTTGTGAAAAAAACATATATAGTAAACGCCACGAATGTTTGGGAGTGATTCATCGGTCGCTACCATGTGAACTAATCTGTTCAAGGTTACATAAAACTATATTCCAGTGCCGTGGTGTTTCAAGTCATATAATAATCAATATATAATCTGTTGTAATTTGTTGTTTTAAGTGCTAAAGTCTTGTCAAAACATATATTTGGTTATAAATATAAAATGGAATGCCCCATTGGTCGCACTGCAAGCATACCAATGGACTGACGCACAAAAACGAATCAATCAAAGAAACGCGATATATTATCGTCTTTTTCAATCATGCTGGCATTTTACAATAAGTAGGAGGAGCGCAGGTAGATGATTAGACCGGGCCTTTAAAAACCTACGTCTGCGGTAAAAATTTACGTTTTTAAAGTAAAAATGATAGCGCGCGTGTCGATTCTAACTTCATCAAGCGATAAATCACTCCCAAACATTCGTGGCGTTTACTATATATCACTTTACTGTAAAATAATAGTAAACTGAACTTTCTGAAAATTATTATATTATTTTATCGAGTTAGTTTGCTAGATAATATACTAATAAATAAACATATGTTTTCACTACAAAAGCGTCTTCTTTAGTTTCCTAAAAAAACTTATTATTATTTATAGAACACAGGAGGAATCTGAAAGTAAAGGCAAAAAAGAAATACAGAAACTGGAACAACAATTAAGAGAATTAACTCAAAAAATGGATAACGAAAAATCGGCCTACGAGACGTTAGCACAAATCCACAAAGATATTTCTGGAAAATTTATGAAGAGTATCAAAGAACTCGTCGATATAAAAAATTCGAAACAAGAACTGGCGGACGAGCTGAAAAACATGTATAATTCTGTTAAACAGCTGGAACAAGAAAAGGTAATAAAACAAATCAATTTATAACAATAATTAAAATGAAACTTTTTCAGGCCGAATTAAATAAACAAGTATTCAATTTGTCTGGTGAAATAGAAAGCTTGAACAGTACAGTAGTGGAGCTAAGAGAAAAGAATAATTGTTTACAGGATTCCTACTCTAGTGCAGTAGATAAATGCGAAACATTAGTAAAAAAAGTAAACTTAAATATATCTACAGTATGTCCCCGGATTGTCTTTAGAAGAGAAAACACTTTTTTGTTATTGACATTTTGAGAAAACTGCATTCTCCATAAAAAATTTTGCTTGTTCTAAAATGGTTAATGCCGTTTAGACTTTTCCAAATTTCCATACCGTTTTAGAGAAAGTTAAGAAAAATATGAAACGTTGAATTTTTTCTAAAAAAATGAAAGTCCTAAAAATCAAAAGGCGTTTCTATGGTAATCAATCCATTTCATTCTTTGATAGATGGTTATTAATAATTTTGATTACGGTCATATTCTTTGCTGTTGTTAAAGTATCAGATTTTCCGATAAGTACCATCACCTTTTCCGTAGTATTGAACTAAATAAATGCTTCTTTAACATTTTACAACAACAAAAAATATGACGGTAATTAAAATTCTATTAATAATAATCGACCAAAGAATGAAAACGAAGTTAAATTACCATAGAAACGCGTTTTGATTTTTAGGACTTTCAATTCAACAATATTTTCATGTTTTTCCGAGTGTTTTTCTTAATTTTCTCTAAAACTATATGGAAATTTGGAAAAATATAAACGAGATTAACCATTATAGAACAAGCAAAATTTTTTATGGAGAATGCATTTTTCTCAAAATGTCAATAACAAAAAGCTTTTCCTCTTGTAAAGACAATCCGGGGGACATACTGTATAAACCAGTGATTCCCAAAGTGGTCCAGGTGGACCCCCAGGGGTCCACGGGAGACTTGCTGGGGGTCTACGTAGGCGTGAACAAAAAATGGGGGTCCATAAGATGTTAATGGGGGTCCACGAAAATTTATCTGCTTTTGATAGTAAAGAGCAAAAATGTAAGCATAGTTTTTATAAGGGCCTACCTACATTGTTTTAAGTACCTATCTAAGCAGATAATATTTTAATAAGGCAAGCGACTGTTACTTGTCCAAACTTGCGTATTCGATATTACGTACAATTTCGTGTACAGACTTGCAAAGCGCTATCCGCCCGACAATGCTTAATGCTTGTTCAGACATGAACTTGATCACCACTATAAATACTTGATGCCAAAGGCAAACGCATTCATTTGTTTCCGGAATTTCGAAAAAAGGGCGGAATTTGGAAAAAAGTTGTGAGAAAATTTATATCTGTGTTTGCTAGTGCCGGAGAAAAGTAAGTAACCTACCTTTTTTTTTGTTATAGTACTTAAGTATTTTGTTTACGTGTACTAGTCGGTTGATCACAACGGCCTGTATAGATAGGTAACTTAGTAACTTACAGATATTTTAATTGTCCTCTTTCGATTTGAAGACAAACACAGCACGTTTTATTCAATTGTTTTTTCACGAGAAAAACACTGCCTCTCTAAAAAGGCCGAATAAGCAATATTGCAGAGCAATTAATTTTGTAATTTTTCTTGCAAATAACTACTAATTTTATAAAACAGTAATTTCATAATCATTTTAAATTGGTTTTGAAGTAACTATTTTATCAAAACTATTCCTTTTCGGAAAGAGCGAGCGGTGCGCGGGCGACGGGAAAAGGGCGGGGCTTGGACTTCGATGCCAGTTTGTCACGTTTTAACAATGAAGCCGCAGACAAAAAATACGCAAATACACGGAGCGCGTGAACTCATTGATTTAATAAAATGTTAGTTATCGTTTTTATGGACAATTTTGGGATTTCGACTTTTATTTTTTCCTACACAAATATGATCAGTATTCGATACTGAGTACACCAATTTTTATTTATACTATTAAAAATTAGTGGTAAATTATGTACTTTAAAATTGATACCGTTTTGTGAAAACGTCTGTATTTGTCTCAGCGGTTTATTAGTTGGTCCCTTTACAAGCCGTAATTCTATTTCCGCGTGCTGACAAAGGCTGCGGTGTGATACCTATATTCAGAAAAAAACTTGGTTACTAAAACATTTTTTTTTTACAGGTAAGGTAACTGACACGAAACATGGCTACAGCAAAGAAAAAATGTCGACAATATAGTATCGATTATTTGAAATATGGTTTTGTTCCATCAGAGGCAGACAAACAATTGCCCATGTGCCTATTATGCAACAAAGTTTTGAGCAATGACTCTATGAAACCATCAAAGCTCGAAGATCATCTAAAAAGGTGTCATACTGATAAAATAGGTAAAGATTTAAAATATTTTCAAACATTGAAAGAAAAATATGGAAAGAGACCCACCATGCACAGTATGTTCGCTTCAACATCTCAAAGTAACGATGATGGCTTGCGGGCATCTTACAATATCTCATTACTTATAGCAAAATCTGGAAAACCGCACACTATCGGAGAACAATTAATTTTACCCGCTGTTGAAGAGGTTTTAAAAACTGTTTTGCACAAATCTCCATTTGACGTACTAAAAAGAATTCCATTAAGTAACAATACTGTACAAAGACGCATTGATGAAATGAGCTCTGATATCGAAAGCTTTTTGTGCAATCATCTGCAAAAAACTCATTTTTCTATACAACTGGACGAGTCAACGTTACCCAGTAATGAAGCATTACTATTGGCATATGTCCGATTTATTGTTGAGGAAGAAATTCACGAAGAATTGCTATTTGCCAGAACTTTGGAGACTGACACTAAAGGCGAATCAATATTTAATGTCCTGAGTAATTTTTTTACGGAAAAATCGATCCCATTTACAAACATTATTTCAGTGGCAACAGACGGAGCTCCTGCAATGGTCGGGCGATATCGTGGGTTTATAAGTCATCTCAAAAGAATTATACCAGGACTTACAGCTATTCATTGCGTAATCCACCGACAACATCTTGTGGCAAAACATTTAAGTGACAGGTTGAACCAATCTCTTCATTTTGTAATAAAAGCTGTCAACAAAATCAGAAGCAATGCATTGAATACGCGTTTATTTGCTCAATTGTGCGACGAAAATGATGAAGACTTCCAACGACTGCTCTTACATACTGAAGTACGCTGGTTGTCGAAAGGTGCATGCTTAACGAGATTTTACTCTGTTTTCGATTCCATATTAGAGTTCTTAGAAAGTAGAGATCCAGATTTAAAAGAAAACTTGATCAAATTCAAAGCAGACATTGCGTATTTGACAGATTTGTTTAAAAAATTTAATGATATTAACTTGCAGTTACAAGGGGACAGCCTGAATTTAATAAAAACAAAGGGGATAATTTCGGCTTTTCTTGGGAAATTGAAATTTATGAAGCAAAACATTAGTCGGCGCGAATTCTCTCAATTTCCAAACTTGTCGCAGGTAGAATGTATTGATGAGGATATCCATACCTACAGTCAACATTTAAGTGCTCTGCATGATGACTTCAAAACCAGGTTTGAAGATATACTGACGATGGATATACCACCATGGATCATAAATCCATTTGATGAAACGGAAGTGGCCAATGTTGTATTACAAGAGGAGCTGCTCGAGCTAAGCACTAATGAGGAGCTGAAGGTGAAATTTAGAAAAGGCTACCCAACATTTTGGCTGCAAGCAGAAATACCCGAAAAATATCCTGGACTGTGGGAAATCGCAAGGAAATTTTTAATAGCTTTTCCCTCGTCATACCTTGTCGAAAGGAGTTTTAGTGCCGTTACAAACCTCTTAACAAAAAAAAAGGAGCAAATTAAACATCACAGAGCGGGGATTTGCGGTTATTGCTCACAAAAATAAAGCCAAACATTGATCGTTTGCTGACACTCCATCAGATACATCCTTCCCATTAATTAAAATTATGACCTGAACCTATATTACCTTAATATTTTTTCTTGTAATTCTATTCTTTTAATAAATAAAGTGATATAAAATGTACCATTTTTCGTTTTTATTTTACATATCGGAATATAGGGACAGAACTCAGAAGTGACACAATTTTTATTTTTTGGCGACTTTAAGAATGTGGTAGAAATGTAGCAGCAGGGGGTCCACCGAAACCAGTAAAATTTTGAAAGTGGTCCACGAGAAAAATAAGTTTGGGAACTACTGGTATAAACTATAAAGGGGTCCATACATTGACAAATTGCTAAAGTGACCAGATTTTGAGTCAGCTAATAATGGACGCAGGCGGGTCAGCAAAAAAAAGAGGAGACATTTTTCAAAAACGCTACAGATTAGGGTTTTCAATTTTTGGGATCCTGATCCCGTTTTAAAATCCCGAGATTAGGACATATAATTCCGGGATTCCGGTATATGGGATTGACTATCAGAATGAGAAAGTTAATATAAAGAACTACTGAAAAATTCAGGTACATATATCAAAAAGAAAATGAGAAAAGAGCTCTATTAAAATAGACAAAACAAAGTAACATTCATATTTAGTAAGTAAAAAAATGTGTTCGTTTGAAGGCTCCATTCGGGTACCTCTATTTATCTACGTGCCGAGTTTGGTTCCAATCGACCCAAAATTAAGGAAAGTCCTGATGATTTCGTCCATTTAGAGGCATCGGTTCGAAACGTCGAGGGCGTCATCCTCAAGCCCGTCCCCAATTATGCCAAAATTGACCAACATTTTTCTTCAATATCAAATCCTTAGTCCAATCCTGATAAAGATGTAAACGAAACGTCGCCGTCATATCCAACTTTGCTCACATAGTCTGCACTACCCACTATAAATTTGGTCGCAATCGAACCAGAGAAGAACGGTTGTTCTTCTCTGATCGAACGACATAAAATTTTGACGTTTCTTACGTCAAAACTAACTGTCACAGTGACACGTGTCGACACAGTCAATTTGGCCTTGGTCCAATCTATTGACATACCAAATTTCATTTAAATCGGACGATTTTTTGATTTCATTCGTTGATGATGGGGTTTCGTAGTGCACGAAACGTCGTCAAAATATCATAAAAAGAGCCCCTTCTTTTTTTCGAGCCGCATCTACATTCCGAGTTTCAACTCTCTAGCTCACATAGGAGCAGAGTTACAACGCTCCAAGATCGTTACCATTTTTGTGACGCTTGGCGACCTTGGCGTGACGCTTCGCGTAACGCTAGCTCGTGTGTCGCGGCCTTGAATTTTTACTCCCATCGCGCGTAAGTTTCACATCAAAAATACAATTCTCGCGACACTCCAAAGAGCCATCTCAACTTCCTCATTGGCCTTACCACTTTTTCGATCGTTACCACTTTTCCTGACGCTAGCTGTTGTGTCATACAGCCTTAAAATTTTACTGCCAGCGCTCGTAAAAAATACAATTCTTGTTGCAAAACATAATAAAATACAGCAAACACGAAACTATAACTTTTAGATATTGACGTTCTGCTTAGTATAGATAAATTATGATCTTCGAAAGACTAAAATATACAAAGTCGAATAATTTTAGATTGGGAATTTGTATTTTTCGAGATTTTCGAAATCCCGGGATTTCAGGGATAAACATACACCGGACTTTGGAAAAAAGAGTTTCATAAAATCAAATTTCCAATGTCAAAAAACACCCAGACACAAATTTTCATCGAAATATCGCCTATAATTCAGAAATGATTTGAAAAAAACGAAATAAAAATGAAACTTCTACACCCTGTATCTCCGAAACGAAGCATTTTAGGACACAAATTTATACCAACTTCTTTACTTACTTTTACCTGCAGCATATGCTGTCAAAGTTTCCCGAATATAATTCGGATTACCCTGTATATGAAGGGTATTGAGGACATGCTTGGTCGTCAGTACTCAACTTCTAACTATCGCATGTCGTTTAAACAAAATTTTATCAAATATATGAACGATGTAATTGTGCACTGCCATCTTGCACTTGGGTGTGTTGTGCAATTTGTTTGACAATGTACGGACTCCTTTAACCTCAGAATGATCAGATACAACATTTTAATTTCGTTATTTTTTACTTTTAGTCTAATATGCCAGAATACTACAATTTTGAATCTAACGACCAAATTCGCGACAAGATATATTCATTAGAGGTAAAACTATTAAATATCTAAAAAAACGTACGATTTATACCTGACTTTCTTGCTTCAGCGAGAAGTTACAGAGTTACGCAAAGAAATTGAAGAAAACCGATTGTCTGAGCATGAAATGAAAAAGGAAATTTGCCAATTTCAACAAGAAATAACTCTTCTCGAAATTCAAAGGTTCTAAGACGTTTGTATATGGGATTTTTCACGCAACGTTTATTAATTTTTTAGGATCTATCATTTAGATACAAATCTGAACGTTTAACGATTTAAGATTAACGATTACTACCACTTCCGGTTTAACCTTAAGAGTCTAATTAGGGGTCGGGTAGATGCTGGTGTGCGGCCGAAGGAAATACAGGGTGCTACAAATTCGAGGTACGAGCATTGGTATCTCGGTAACCATAATAGATACGAACATGGTTAAATTGGGGCAAAGTTGCCACATTGGGATGTTCACCAAGATGCCATCAAAAAACTTTTAAAAATTTCAAGGATTGCAGTTTTTTGGAAAATCAATTTTATTTTTTCCTGTCGTTACTTTTTAGAAAATCAAAAAAATAATTGCACATTTTCATAGCCACTTTATTAGGGCTATCTGATAGTATTTTTAAATTTTCAAATTAACTGATTAATTTGTGGGATACAGCGGCCAACTTAATTTTTTTAAATACGTACCTGCATTTTTTATTTCAGGTTTTGAAAGAACTCAGTCTCCTGAATACAATGATAGGCCACACTTTATACGTTTTTTTGTTTTGGGTACCTTAACAGCAACAAAACTATTTAATTATTATATTTAAAATAATTTCAAGTCCGACTCTGGTTTCTTAAATTATTTAATGTGATTATATTCATAGCAACAATATTGATCAGATAAAGAAGATCAGATAAAGAAGTTGTCTAAAAATGTGCTACGATAAGGATATAGTATAATCCTTTATATCTTTAATTTTCTTCTTCATTTGTGTAAAAATGCCTAGCCAGTTAAACATATGACTCGTGGGCTTATGTTTTTGACATCTACAATCATATCTTTGTATTTTTTTTGACTAGGATTCCAACGCCTCTTATGGCAGTTTCTTCACCTGAGTAGCTAATGTATTTCCGGACTTCAAAATAACCTGTCCCTTTCCTATCCTGCGGGCTTCACTTATACCCAGTATGTCCCATTTTATATTCTTAAGTTCTTCTTCCAGTTCTAGAAGTTTTTCGTCCGATGACAGTGTTCTGGCATTGTATGTTGCAATATATAGTGAGTGTGGTCTTTGGCAGCTTCTCTTTATTTTTGTTGTTGGTGCAAGCGATTTTTGCCTCCCCCAGAATCCTCGAGGCAGACCTTTTTCAAGGTGTGGAAGTTGACATTCGTTCTACCCACCTGGGGTACACTTTCCTTTTCTGTTTTAGAATTCGCCATGTCTTTGGGTTTTTTAGCCATAATCTTCCACGTTTACTATGTTTAACAATCAAATTAAATAAAAAATACTCTGTAAAGGTTATTCAGGCATATGCACCAACTACCGAAAGTACAGATGATGAATTGGAGAACTTTTACGAAGATGTATCCACTGCTCTACAAAATGGAAAAACACACTATACAATGTTAATTGGAGATTTTAATGCCAAAGTTGGTAGCAAACAAAATGAAGCGGAAACTTCAGTCAGCTATCATGGATTGGGAAGCCGAAACGAAAGAGGTGATACACTGATAGATTTCGCACACCACAACAAATTATATATAATGAACACCTTCTTCAAGAAAAGCAGCAAAAAAAAGCGGACATGGACCAGTCAGATAGCAAAACCAAAAACGCAATAGATTTCATAATCAGCAATAGAAAAGGTAATCAAAGACGTAAGTGTATTAAACAGATTTTCGATAGGAAGCGATCACCGCATTGTAAGAGCCGAGATAAAAATAAATATAAAGAAGGAAAGAACTAACATGATACTCAAGAAAAACCACAAGAAATGGGTAGCTCCTGAAAATAAAGATTCTTATAAGGCATGTATATAGCCTCAAATATAAATTATGAAAATATTACTACGATAGACGAAATATACGAAAACATCAAAGGGGCCACTCAAACGGCTATCGAAAAATTTTGTCCCAAAAAAGTAAAAGAACAAAAACTGAATCAAAGAACAAAACTTTTAATGAAACAGAGAAGAGATATGGAGGACAAGAGTACACAAGAATATAAAACTTTAAACATACAGAACAAAAACAGAGAGATATCCAAAGAAATCAGAAAGCATAGGAGGCAACAGAATACGGAAAAAATTAGGAACGTCATAGAGAAGAATCAAAGTTTGAAGCTATTGAGAAATAGGACAATGGGAAGAAAAGAAATACAAAAGATTAAGGATCTGCACGGCAACATAGTAACACACAAACAGGAAATCCTACACTCTATTAAACTTTTCTATCAAGAACTTTACACATCAAAACAGCAGGGGATCAAAACCGACATCCGAAAGGTAACAAATCAGGGGTCGGAAGAAATTCCAGAAATAACCGAGGAAGAAATTATCAGTGCCCTTAGAGATATGAAAAACAATAGAGCTGCCGGCGACGATGGACTGGTAATAGAGTCAATCAAAGAAGGAAGACCAGAAATCATCAAAGCTTTAAATGTCCTATTTAATAAATGCATTGAAGAAGAAATAACCCCATCACAGTGGAACAACGCAACCATCATTATTGTACACAAGAAAGGTGACGTTACAGACCTTAAAAACTATAGACCCATCAGCCTTCTTAGCCACGTATACAAATTATTTACTAAAATACTCACGAAGCGTTTGACAAATAAAATAGACTTTTTTCTTTCGAGCGAACAAGCAGGTTTCCGATCAGGTTACGGAACAAATGACCATCTTCTGACAGTCAAGGTCTTTATCGAGAAATGCATTGAGTATAATAGACCACTAATGCTTGTCTTCGTTGATTTCGAGAACGCCTTCGATTCGGTAGACCAGTGGAAGCTTCTAAAGACACTAAGTGTTAGTCGCATCGATCATCGATACTCCTCAATCATAAGACATATATATGATAATGCCACGGCAAACGTCTGAATATCGACAAATCAATGCACAGACAAATTCAATATCGATCGAGGGGTAAGACAAGGCGACACACTGTCCCCTAAATTATTCGTTGCTGTGCTAGAAAGTATGATAAAAATGATAAACTGGGATTCAACAGGAATTAACATCGATAGCAAATTGATAAATTATCTCTGTTTCGCAAATGATATTATTTTAATAACAGACAACATACAGGAGGCACAGAATATGCTGGATATGCTGAATGATGCTTCGGAAAAAGTCGGTTTGAAAATTAACTTATCAAAGACACAATACATGACAAACCTAGTACTAAGTGGAAATTTAAACATTAAAAACATACCTTTGGAACAAGTGCATATATATAAATACCTAGGGCATGAGATCGGTATTAGAAGGGATAATCAGACCCACGAAATTCTACGAACAATAGGTTTGTCGTGGGCGGCATTTGGCAAACTAAGGCATATACTGAGATCTGATATTCGCATATGTTTAAGAAGAAAGATCTTTAACCAGTGTGTCTTGCCTGTCCTCACGTATGAAGCTGAAACGCTTACTTTGACAAAAAAGAACATACATAGAATACAGCTCATGCAACGAAAAATGGAAAGGTCCATGTTGGGAGTTACACTCAGAGATAAAAAACCCAATCATACAATACGAAATCGAACAGAAGTAAGAGATGTGGTGATATCTGTCTTACATCTTAAATGGAATTGGGCAGGACATGTGGCTAGGATGACAGATGGACTGTGGACAAAGAGACTTGTGGAATGAGGACCAATACTGATAGATCTAAAAAAACGTACGATTTATACCTGACTTTCTTGCTTCAGCGAGAAGTTACAGAGTTACGCAAAGAAATTGAAGAAAACCGATTGTCTGAGCATGAAATGAAAAAGGAAATTTGCCAATTTCAACAAGAAATAACTCTTCTCGAAATTCAAAGGTTCTAAGACGTTTGTATATGGGATTTTTCACGCAACGTTTATTAATTTTTTAGGATCTATCATTTAGATACAAATCTGAACGTCTAACGATTTAAGATTAACGATTACTACCACTTCCGGTTTAACCTTAAGAGTCTAATTAGGGGTCGGGTAAAGCTGGTGTGCGGCCGAAGGAAATACAGGGTGCTACAAATTCGAGGTACGAGCATTGGTAAAATTGGGGCAAAGTTGCCACATTGGGATGTTCACCAAGATGCCATCAAAAAAGTTTTAAAAATTTCAAGGATTGCAGTTTTTTGGAAAATCAATTTTATTTTTTCCTGTCGTTACTTTTTAGAAAATCAAAAAATTAATTGCACATTTTCATAACCACTTTATTAGGGCTATCTGATAGTATTTTTAGATTTTCAAATTAGCTGATGAATTTGTGGGATACAGAGGCCAACTTAATTTTTTTAAATACGGACCTGCATTTTTTATTTCAGGTTTTGAAAGAACTCAGTCTCCTGAATACAATGATAGGCCACACTTTATACGTTTTACCTTAACAGCTACAAAACTATTTAATTATTATATTTAAAATAATTTCAAGTCCGACTCTGGTTTCTTAAATTATTTAATCTGATTATATTCATAGCAACAATATTGATCAGCGCTAATTAACATTGAATAAGGAAAATCGTCGAGCCAATTGGAAGATTCAAATAAATAATATCCAGGTTAGGAATTTAAAGATATTATTTTTAACTTTTTTTATTGTGAGTTTGAAATCTCAGTGTGCGATCTAATAATATGCACAATATTAATCGTAGTTATTATAAATAAATCAACTTCTACAAACTAGTTTTTCTATGTTCTGCATGTTCGAAAGGGTTACCACCCTCCCTATTGCACACATTTATTTTTCGTTCAATTTTATTTATTGCTCTTTGAACTTTCTTCTTATACTTCCGAATGCATTTTGTATTCTTTATTGTAAATGTTGAGATGAATTGATTTCACTTTTACAAATGACGTCAAGTAATGTAGTCCCTTGGCAGTAGGTCCATGAACCTCGCTGGACATTATACTGCTCTACCATTTCCAGTCCATCTTCCGGGAAAATGATTTGATTGTTTATATTATATTATATTTATATTAATTATTTTATTGCAT